ATATGAAAACCATCGAACATGTTATATCCTAAACTTAGATGCACACTCTGTGCTCGATAGCTGGCTTAACTCGTAGGAACCGTATCTGCGAAGTACCGGACATAATTAAATGAAGTAGATGGAGACGGAAGGAGTGTAATCTGCATGTTCAAAGAATAGAAAATCATCATCGTATATATAAATGCAAAATATGAAGAAAAATATATAGATATGTAAAAAATGTAAATGTCTAGTTTTGAATTCACCACGAAACGTCTTAAGATACTTTAAAGATGACTGATCCTAATCAGAATGGCAGCCGCTAGATCAGCAAAGCAAAGCTTATATCAGAGGAAGAATTGCTAAAAGTAGAGAAGAATTAACTTAAAAAATTGTTCACTAAATTAAAAACACTACGAATATTGTACTTAAAAATAATTGTAAAGAACACAGAAAGATAAAGAGATGTATTTGAGAAACATAAAATAATTTACAATAGACTAGACTTCAAGTAGACATTTCAGACAATTGTCTCATATTTCCTTACTGAGTAATTTTTCCACTATCGTCTCCTTATATATGTGAAGTAATTACGAGTAATTATTCTTCAGTTTTATAAATAAAATGAAAATGTGTGTTTACTTTATGTTGTGATAATAAAATCAGGAATTTGTGTATTAAACTCCTAAGTTGATTATATTGCTTATAGTTCGTATAAGAAGAATCATTGCAAAACTGTCAGTGATAATCATGTGGACGTTTATATTCTAAAACAAAAACAAACACATCAGTTTGTTGATGAGTATTAATGCCGGTATTTGTGGTGCAGTGGGCGTTTTTATTGAAATGTAAATTCCATTTACGTACTAAATTTACGCACAGAGAAGTGTAATAAATTTTTCCCACTAATTGAAGTAAATGGTAAAATTTTCACATCATTTTTCATTGTGTAGATGCGAGTATTGCCAAAAAATTTTTGGATTTCAGCTACAGTCGGGAGAACATTTTGTGTGTGCCCATGTGTCTGCCACTGTGGAAACTCAACCAGTACGACAAACCGAATACATATATTATTTCTACCAGCAGCTCATCAATTTGAAATAAATTTCTTATTATATTGCCGAGTAAGAGGAAAAAAGCAAACTGAAAGGAATAAAACTTTACCACAAATTCTATTTAAACATAAAATTTATTTATTTTTTTTTCTTGGTTTCTATCATTAATGTTTCATTACGTTCTGGCGATTATAGGTGTGTATAGTTTTTATTATGATCCGCACCCATGTTTAACAATAGGAAAAAAACAGAAACAAGCGATTAAAGAAAGCAAATCGAAAAATATTTTTTGTTCTATTGAAATTTAAATCTTTAATATTTGTTTTTAAGTTACTTGAAAAAAAATTAAATTCCTTAAAACAAAATACAAATCGTATAAATTATATGAAACACAAAACTTTAGTAGCTATCTATTATTAAAATTATTTAGTTATGCTTGTATAAATTTCAAAAATTAAATTTAAAATATTAATTTTATCTGCTCTTAAGTGTTCAGAATAAATATTTCACATTTATTCTGTTTTGTGTTAAAACAATGAAGCATGAATCTTATTTTTTTTCTTTCAGTATTTTTTACATTTAATTTATGCACAATCCGACAATGAAAAGACGGCAATATTCCTTCTAATTTATCTTGGGATAAAATTCACACTTTCAGTGACTTGGTTTCAATGTCTGACTTAGCAAATATTTATGTACATGAATTTCTCTTCGCTTAACACATTTTAACTTTCATTCAAGTTTATAGTTTGCCGGTTTAATGTGAATGCATGCATTCTTAGGTCCTTTCATTCTAACAATGAAAAATTCTAAACATTTTTACTGAAATTTCAGACTTTGGTATGCAGCGATGCAAACATACTTTCAATGTCGTTAAAAATAATTTTTCCTCTCGAAAACTAAAACTTAACAATAACTATGGAACTGGAATGTGCCATACTTTTAGCTGAATGCAAAGATTATTTTTCATGCCTGAAGTTATATAAAATTTTGATTAATTATTTTTAAAATGTTTTTATATTTCTTTCAAATTACCATATTTTACAAGTACTATCATAATTATTAATAATTAGTTCGCGTTAAACATTTCTACAAAAATAATTCTAATGCAAACAATTACTTAAGAATATAATTATGCTAATTACTAGGAATAAGTGCCTAGCTAGAATTAAAATAATATAGAATCCACGTATAACATTTATAGTAGGCTATCCCTTAGTTTTTAGGGAAAAATATCAAAAATTTGGAAAATCGTTTAGCTAATATCACTCTTACCTAAGTTTACGAACATAGGAATATGAAAAAGATTAAGAAACCGAAAATCGATTAGCTAATATCACTCTTAAATATGTTTCCGAATATAGGAACATGAAAGGAAATAAAAAAACCTGAAATCGATTAGTTAATATCATTCTTACCTAGATTTCCGGACATAGGAATATGAAAGAAAATAAACAACCGAAGGTATTATCCGGGATCTATTCCTAGCGGTTCCCCTGGATGTCGTCTAGAGTATTTTGTACCTGTAATTATGTCACCTAGCTAATAATAAATGAAAGTCATTTAAATCGTGTATCACTTCATGATCGACCAAACCATTATATAAAAAGCTCAGATCTTGGAAAGTCATTGAGAAGGTAAATGGTTGGATTTGGTTGGTTTTAGTGGCGATAGAACTTCTTCTTCTGTCTTCTGTACCATTTTGCTACCAAAAACCCGCCCATGATAATTTTTATTTTAAAACTAACGTGCGAGATTGACAAATAAAACTATTATTTGGCGAGTTACGTTAGGGATGTCCGACAGTTTCATTAGTTTGTTGACTTCCATAGTGGAATGTCTCAATATTGTATGCTGTAGACATTTACAAAGAAACTGTTTAGTTGTTTCTTTTTGCTTTACTTTATTGTGACCTCTGCAATTATTGTTATAGGGAATACCCAATTTTTTGGCATTGGTGTCCACCGACCAGTGAACTGGACACTACTGCTAGGCAAATCACTGATTACTGGTATATATATTTATTGCCCATAACAGACGTCACTTAAAAAAGAGAGAAATCAAGCATTTCACCTGTGACTGCTCAGCTTAGGTTTCTAAAAGAAAAAATTTTTACGAAAGCAATTTTTTGACAATATGTCATATTATTCATGGGCACAGACGAAATATTAAAAAATATACTTTATTCAACCAAATGCATCTAATTCGAAACTCATTAGATATCCTACAAGGAATTTCACAAAAAATAGATAAATGTACAATCATTTTCGGAAGTGAATAAATATCGGCTGAGCTACCATTGCAACCAATCAACAAGCCAAGATATTTTTCAAACAAATTAGTAGTTTTTATGATTTTCACTATATTGATGTGCAGAAGTGAACATCAAAAAGTGCATCTTGGGTATATATTTTTTGGCAGAGTTCCTGCAGTTCACAAAATTTTTGTATTATGGGTATTTATTCCCAAACCAAATTTAATGCAACATTTTTGAAATTTCGTTAAACGAAAATTTATTTAATCGAGAGTTGGTTACTTTAGATTTCTGCTGTATATAATTTCACAATATTTTTTTATTTATTTCTCTAATACTTTTAAACAAATCAGTAAAGTAAAGAATTTTTTTTGGTCTTTTTGTTGCTAATTTGTGGATAAAACTCCTTTTTTTTTGCTAATACATACTAAAACCTATTTCTCTTAAATAATTATTTGACAATTTATAAAATATTTTATTTAAAAATTATGCTAAATAATTTAATATAATAAAACTCAATTATTATTGAAATATATATTCACAACACTTTAACATGAAAAGTCGCTAAAGTCATTACTGGCAAAATAAAATTACGCACTGTGACAATGGAAATAAAATAAAAATTGTTTTAAAAATAACAAAAATTTATATAAAGAAAGGTTATTTATATCATGAAGATATATTTTGTAATATATATCAAAAAAACTCAAAGCAAGAAAAATTTCACTTTGATTGAAAATTCTTAATGAAGCATTTTTTGAACTACAATCTGCGTACAACGTTACCAATCTAAGTGCAAATCTACCTTTGCATTTTGACTTGATGGATAAAAATCACTCATTCAATATTAATGCTATAGGATTATACAACTCTCAACAATGCTATTATCTCAATAAAACTCTGGTAAAATCCGGTATGACACTGTCAATGTCAGTTCGATGATAACTGCTTTGTGAATAGAAATACGCATTTTCAATGCGAATCGATTACGGCAATATGTCAGCAAGGATTTCAATATTGATCGTGTTTTTTATGCAAATGAAAACGCAATTATTCAAATATTCAATATGAAGAAGATATCTAAATATGACAATCAACTCTTCTACTTACTTTCACATTAAAATATTATTCAAATAAGACATTTAGCAAAATATGTAAAAAACTAAACTATGAAGGAATAGTGGCTTAAATGCATTTTAAAAATACTAATAATAATATTAAAAAAAGTTCTCCATTATATATAAAAATCGGAAAATCCATATTTGTATTTTATATATAAGAGAAAGGAACACAAATTTAACTTTTCAAATTATTTGCATTTTTGGCTAAACAAACCGCAGTTTCGGGTATTGCTACACATCCACCATCAGCGGTTTTTGGAAATATTTATTTTATATTTAATGTTTAATGTTATATATATTTTTCAGTGGCAAGTACCAAACATTATAATCATACATTGCCAAATTAATTTTGTACTTTCAGTTTGGTAAGGTACAAATTCAACACTCGGTACTTGTAGCCTAAAATTTATTTACTAACCATAACCTTAAAACAAGTATTTTCAGAGACCACTGCTGAAGGTCAGCTAAAAATTCAATTAATTTAAAAATAAAATATTACTGTAATACTTAACTATTTCCCTATTTTTGTGTTTCTTTTATTTAAAATTTAAATTATTTAAATAAAAATAATAATTCTCATTACTCTTTTAGGAGCTTTTGTAGTTTCAACAAAAGATTCGCCTGCGAAATGGCCTACTCCAGTTTTAAATTTAGAAAACCCTGAGTGATACCTAAATCCAGCATATAAAAGACTACAACTAAAAAAAATTACTCAAATCATCATCTTAAAGTGAAACCAATAAATATGTTTCAGTTTGACATTCCAACCACAACACCAGCAGCAATAGATACTGAACGTTCTGACGTAGCACTGACACAACAGGTACACAATGGCGGCTTGAGTGTCTTTGACAGAAAAGGAGAAAATTATTCGGATTTGGCCGTAGCAGTGACGCGTTCAGTGGCAGCCACAATTTACGAAATGTGTACTGAGTCGTTGTACAACAACTGCAGTGAAGTCAATGGAACTGCAAACAACACACATCCAATACCGTAAGTTCTAAATTTGTCAGTAGAGGAAAGCAGTAAATAATGTGAAATAAAATAAGGCTTAGAATAAGGAAATTGTGTAGAAAGATAATTTTCGAAGACATTAAATTTAATTCTCGTAATAAAACTGTATAATAAATGTCTACGATACTAAATCCATATTAACAAAATAAATTCAGTAAATAATGCTAAATTTATGGTTTATTAGACATTCAGTTGATTAAACAATTGGTCATTTAATTTCTATACTATGTTAATTTTAGTAAATCTTTTCAATCAATTAATTGAACTGAAAAAAATTTTAGAATTTTTATTTAATGGTTACGATCATGATTTATGAAGTTATGTAGTATTTGAATATATTGTTTTGTATATTAGAGGTACAATACTGTATTTTAACAGGTTATTGTAGTTTGAATTATCACCAAATTAAAGTAGAAATGTTTTATAATGCAAACTGCAAAATTTATAAAAAAAAAGAGGAGACCTACATTTATACATAAAAAGTTGAAATAGTTGGGTGAATACATAACACCCAATAACGAATTAAACTCAATAATATTTAAGGCAAACATTACTATTTATTTAGAAAATAAAACTGAAAATAAAACTTTTAAGAAGAAGCAATAGTTCTTGAGGTCACGGTGCTAAGTCCCTACTGCAATCATAAAAGTACTATGTTTCCGTGTTTTCACATGACTACACTCTATCTTTTTTTAAAAAAATTTTTTTCCATTCTTCTTTAAAATATTTAGTGTATCTTCTGTTTAAACATTAAATCATTTTACAGCTTTAAGTATAAAATTTAGTAAAAACTTTATTCTGAAGTAATAATTTTCAAGAACCTAAACAGCATTTTATGCAGAGACACATTTAAAAACTTAAGACCATAAACACCTATTAACAAAACTAGAGCAAAATCTTCTCAAAAAGCTTTCAAAACTTCCAAAAACCTTAGATTACAACATCACGAAACTGACTTTTAACTAGAAGTATAATACGCTGCTACTCTTTTGAATGGAAAGAACTGGATAGTGACCTAAAAAGTGTTTAATTGTTTCTTCTATAGCCTCATCAACGTCTATTACACGTTGTCTAATCCTGGTTAATTATGATACCATTATGAGACTTAACTTACCCTCTAAACCACCTTAAAGAAGCCATCTGGTTTGCACTTCACTTGGTTTTCACTTGATTGAGGTTTCGATTATAGACATTAACGACAATATTAGATCAACCGTAGCTAGCCTAAGAAATATCTCAAAATAGAAAAATTTCAAGAAGTTAAACATTTGCCTGCAAAATATATGAGAATAACTTTACAAGTGCTTAATTACTTCTTTCGCTTTCTCATCCATTCCAAAAAAATTATATATGTTGAAGGCACTTAATATAATTGTGCCACTTCAAACTTCAATCTTCACTGCAAACCTTATCAATCTTAATATGTCCGCTATAGTTTTGGTAAATTTTGAAAATAGCACTCTCTAAGTTGTTCCTTCCTCGCCTTCATCAGTTTATGCACAAGTCTTTACTGAGAGCTCCTCATCTAGTCACATTCATATCAATTAACAACTCACACAGATTTGATATCGTCATATTTGTAAAGTATTGACTAATTTAAGTTCTATATTTACTACAACTTTATTTTCTACGAATATTTTTTTTTTCTGATTAAAACATTGAAATCGTTTTTCTATCTTAATACTCATTCAAATATCTAAAACTATAATATTTTGTTCAGTTTAATACTTTTTTATGTAGCAACTTAGCAAAATTGAAAGAAAATCTTTCAATTAAAATGTTTATCCCAAAATCTACTCATTAATTAGCATCATTTGTGCTGGAAGCAAACGTCAGTATTTAGTAACACTCAGTCGGATTCTTTTCAATATTCACATACTGATTCATTCATTGTTCCTTGCTGTATCTTTTTTTATTATTCAATTCTTCCGTATCCCGCGTTGCCTCTTTGTCAACAATTTCTCATGCTTTAACCCAATGCAGCTGCAGTATTCTTTTCCATATATTCATTGTGCTACACACAATAGAAGTGGACAACGAATATGTCATCAGCTCGACTGCAATTTGCAAAAGTATCTTCACAAATACGAAAAATTTATGAATTAGTGATGCTGGGGCCATCGTATTTGTGTCCGTGTGAGTGCAAATGAATTGTGTCACGTTTGACAAGACAATGGAGAACATGAAAATGTACAACTCATAAGGCCAAGTAGTGAGAAAAAACTAAAAACTGAACATTGTAAACAAAAATGTTGACAAATAACAGGCATCAAGCACATAAGAGAAAAAAAGATATTTCAAAATAATTAGATATCTACAAAATTCTATTAACTTCATTTAATTGAAATTGATACGAAACATTTTTCTGTAGCTTAAATTTTCTTGTCAATTCTTAAACAGAAAATCAAATTAGAATTAAAATGATTGTTAATTGCATCTCTTAGCAGCATGGACCAAAAATTTATTCTTGTTTTAAATCACTTTAGTATTTAATGTATTATTACCATTTTATAATATTTTCCTCAAACACCGTCAATGATTTGAGGAATGTGTTTTCATTATGCCAGGAGCTCTCTGAATCCTAATGGTTTATTTATCATTTACATTTATCATTTACATTTCCTATAAATTCCCTAGCCATTTAGGATGCAGAGATTTAGTATAGTTAAACATATATTGCTCATCTACTAAACAGCGAAGTATACATTTCTAACAGATTGAGTAAGACCCATTATTAGGTGGCCCTAATAAACTTTGCTCTTTCAAAAATTGGTAAATTTCATATTCTACTATTTGGTTTGACAATTTCGGCAAGCTCTGACTGTTGTATCCTGGAACACGCTGTTTCGAACACGCCAAACTTCAATAAAATTAAAATAAATTTTTGTGTTTGTCCTTTATTTCTTTCTTTGCTATTCAAAACCCCTTTAAATTTCGGATTATTGTTATTTTGTTTTCAGAAAATCCTTTTCAGTATTTTCCACAAGACAAAAAATTATCAAATAAGACAACACTGATGTGGTCTACATTTTTAATTTTGATCGACCGTTAGTAAATACAATACCCACTTTGTTAACAGATTTTTTCGGCATAATTATCTTTATAAAATGTTACTCATATATTATTTTATACACTAACAGAGCCCACAATGTCTTACAACTTTAAGTTTATTAAAAATAATTTAGTAAATAATCTGATTTTTTTTTAAATAAAAGTTTTTGATTCTTCAGAACGTTTCTCATCATCAGTATTACATTATCGTGTTTAAATTAATTTTAAGTTCATTCAAATTATTTTTGGTTATATTTATTAACTTCTTAAGGTAACTACCTTTGACTCCGCAAGCGTTCCACAACTATTTATAAAACAGAAAGGCATACATATATTAAAATAAATTTTTTTTTAAAAAATATATGTGAACTCATATTTAACTCATGTTTTGTAAAAGTAGATATTAAGGAAAAGCTATTGGTTAAGCTTCAAAAAAAATTTCGAAATAAAATATTAAAAATATAAGATTCATTAACAGAAATTTTGATTCCTTAGCAATCCTTTTGCATCTGGTTTTTTACTCTTAATACATTTCAATAAAAATTTCTATTGTCTTCCGTACGGTCAATTGTTTTGAATGTGTGACCAATGAGGTAAAATTTAATACTGTTAATTACCAAAATACCATATCTCATCTGTTTGTGTTATAATATATAACACAATAGTTATTAACACCACACATACCGAACCGCAACTGTTTAGCAGTACCTTAAATTGCTATATAATGAATAACCACAATTGTATACTCGAACGTTGATTAAAATTGATTTTAATAGACTCCATATCTACATGTTAAAATAAATATTTTTTAATAAGCTTTTATATGTTAAATAGTTTAACATACTTATTTAAGCTGTGAATATGTAGAATAACATTTTTCTGTACAAATTATTTGCGTGCAACGTAGCGTATGAGTAACAATTTAAGCAGTACTCATTTTATTTATTTTAAACATTTTTTAAATATTTTAAGTTTAGAAATTTTTTAACTAAGTGATATGTATATATCATTTTAAGTTATATAAAAAAAATTTAAAAGAATAAAAATTTCATACTGATTTGTGTTTGGCTAATAAAATTACTTTCTATATAAAAATAAATTTATATACGCTTGTGGGGGAAAAATTGTATATTCTTCCTAATTTTAAAAAATCTTCTTAAATATTTAATCATAAGTTATTTGTTTAAGAGTAATTCAGTGTCTTTCTTAACTTTTATTATAACTACAAGTTTAATGTTTGATTTAATATTCAGCTAAAACTATAATATTTAATATATTATTAACAATATTTACAATATATTTAATATTTAACTACAAGTTTTTTGATTAAGAGTAAATTTCTTTCTTTCTTCATTTTTATTATAGTTAAAAGTTTAATATTTGATTTAATATTTATCTAAAACTAAATTTAAAATTGTATATATCAAAACTATATATATCGTAAATTTATTGCATAGAATATTAGAGTACAACTTTACTTTTAATTGCATATTCCTTCATAAAAAAAGAGAACTCATATTATAATAAAATCCAAAAAAAAAATATTAAAATAAATTAACTGCAATTTTAATTTTTATTGTAAAACGTTTGCAATATATGAAAAATTTGTCTCATTTGCAATAACGGTTCTACTATTGTTCTCATTGTTTTCACACAAAAGTAATAAATCATGAACATCGCTTAAATGTTGTTTTTAAAAGTTAACAAACTTATTCTTTTACTAATTTTTATTCTTTACTTTTTCTCTTTTTTATTGTTTAATGCTATTTTGTTCACAGCAAATATTGTTACATTCGTCCTTTTATGTTGTTGATGTTGGTTTCGTATTTATATGGCTTATACCATTAATATTATATCCTCCACAGCTATGCAAATATTGTGTGTAAACGCTGCATATTTATATACACTTTAGTGAACACATGAACTGAAGGAAAGGCCATGAACGTTTACGATTACATTTACAACAAATTTTTTTTTCCATTTACAGAATTCATGGTACTGTCCTTTTACATATTTATAAAGAATAACTCTCATAGTCTAGCAGATACTCATAAAAATACAACATTATCACTAATTTGCTTTTTGGCATTGTTTTCTTTTATTGTTTACATTTTAGCGCCGATGACATATCCTTTATTCTGCCATGGTGGCGACAAGTGCTTTGGAATATACTCTTTGTTGGGATGGTTATTGTCGCAACTGGCGGTAATTTAATTGTGGTTTGGATTGTGTTAACAACAAAGCGAATGCGTACTGTAACGAATTATTTTATAGGTGAGTTTTCATAAAAATTTTGGTCTTAAAAAATGTTTACACTTTTATGCGGAAATTTAGATTTTCACAAAGTGATTGTATTTACCGCAAAAAAAAATAAAAATAAAAATATTAAACTTGTTATTTTTACAAAGTAAAAAGTGAATAAATTAACTAAGAAGCAAAGGATATGAGGTTGAATTTTTAGAGCGTGAAAAAAGTGGTAGAGTTATTAAAAAATTCTCTTAAATTTTTCAAAAATAAAATATAATTTATAAAAATTTAAATATTTTGTGTTATGGGCTCAGTAAAATTACTTATTAGCTAATAATATATAAAGAATTTTCATTATAAATTTTTTTTTTTATTCAGTTTAAAAATATTTCAAAAAGTTTTTTAATTAAAATTTTTGGCTGAATAAGTTTTGTATTTCTGTTCTCTTTTGGTTTTTGCTTTAATTACAGTAAATCTTTCCATTGCTGATGCCATGGTATCCAGTTTAAATGTAACTTTCAATTACATTTACATGTTGGACAACGACTGGCCATTCGGAGAACTTTACTGTAAAATTTCACAGTTCATAGCAACATTAAGTATAAGTGCATCAGTGTTTACGTTAATGGCGATCTCAATTGACAGGTGAGTGTCAAAATGTGTAATGGAATAAAATCAATCTATAAAAAATTACTTAAATAACTACAAATTTTGTAAAATTTAAATTATATAGTATATTTTTTATCTTCAGCTTCAACTACTAATAACAAACTTAACTCTACACATTTTTCTTTTATTTTAGTTTGTAAACGACTATTTTCCAAATTAATCCTTTGCTTACTTATTTACAGATATATTGCAATCATGAAACCATTGCAACCACGTATGAGCAAGCGTTGCAATTTAGCTATTGCTGCAGTTATATGGATTGTTTCTGCGATAATATCCTGTCCAATGTTGTTGTTTTTCACTACAGGCGAAACAACTTCACAAGATGGTATACGCACTGTTTGTTATACTGAATGGCCTGATGGCCCAACAAATCACTCCGAACTGGAGTACATGTAAGTATTTGTAAATGCAATTAAAATGCACTACAAAGGAGTTGTAAATTTCCATGCTGTCATAATTGCACTCTTCATTATTTTTAAATACTTTGTGATATTTGATATGTATAAATAAATTTTCCCAATTTATTTACCTGCATAATTACAAAAAATTGAGTAATTAAAATATTACTGCATTATAACAATATTACTATTTTACGAATAATTAAAATAATTTTAAAGAACTTTGTTCTTATGAAGTGACTTTATTATTTCATTTTAATGGTAATGAATTAAAACTGTAATTGTATTAAAATATATGTAAAATCATTTTTAAGTAATTTTGCACTATAAATACTGAACTTAAATAATAAGAGAAGAAATTTTAAAGTATTTAAAAACACAAAGGATTGACTACTTTAAATTTATTTTGGAATTTGGAGCAGTTAAAGAAATTATTTCGTACAAACTTAAACAATTCCAACAGACGAAATTCAAATCCGTAAATGAAATTTACTTGAACTTTTAAAATTATAGAGAGCATTTACAATAGAAAATATTTTATTTCCAATAAAAAATTTAACTAATTTAAAATATTAATCATTTGTGAATCACATCGGAACCATTACGACCGTTTGCACCAACTCTTATTTCGATTGTGGTGACTGATCACATCAACGAGATCTTCAAACGAATAGCAGTTGATAAATTTTCCCTTTGTCGAAAATGAAATAATTTTCTAAGAGTACGTAACGCCTTCGTAATGCGGAAATGTTTGCAATTGGTGAACCATGTAAAATGTTATCATTGGAGAGAATTTATTCAAAAATGATTTTGTTATATTATTAGATAGACAAGCTGCATTCCTAGCTTTGTAGTCAACCACAACAATCTCCTACTTAATGTGATAAAGCAAAGTGAAAATAACCACCCTAAAAACAACGACAAAATGTTTCTCTGATATGGGTCTTGAAATATTAGAACTCTAATTTATGTTTAATAGCCTTAAACGTGGCTATTTTCCTTGAAGTGTCAAGGATTTAATGTCTTCGGCATAACCTATGCCGAAGACATTAAATCTTCATACATCATACATGGTTAATATCATACATCATTCAAATACGGATTGTAGATCAAAAAATCTTATAACATGTAAGACTAGTACGACATAATTGCCGAATTGCAACCTTAAGACAAACGTATGGCTAATAAACAGAAATATAAAGGATCTCTCTGAACTAACAACTGACTTCGGGTATATTAGATAACAGGTGACCAGTTTCACAATACTTACTATTGCAACTGCAGTTAAACAAATAAACACAAAACTTGTTCTACTTTTCTCCTTTTATGCGGTGCTTTTTAGAGGGTGTATTACCATAAGCCGCTCTTTAATAATCCTGGATAGCTAGCAGAAGTTAATATTAACGAAGTTTTGAGGTGCCTAACCTACACAGATTAAATCTTGCCGTGCTGTTACAAAAAGCAACCAAACAATCACTTAGTTATGAGAATATGGTAATACAATGTTAGGAAAGCTCTAATTGGATTAATGGAGAGTTTTCAACTAACCCAAGATTGATACCCGATTGTAATATATGTAATATATGGAAGATTAATATATGTAAATTAAAAATCATTTATCCAACGTTCTTAAGAAAATTAATGTTCTAATAAAAGTTTTGTCTCTAGTTTTGAACGTTAAATTTGAGCTAAATATCGCAAAAAACAAATATTTCTATGTTTAGAGAGGGATCTAAAAGTAGTGAACTACAATAACAAAAATTCTTTTTATATTATTTTAATTAACTGAATTGGCTAACCATGCAGCTGTTTTGAGTATAACCAAATATCTATCATCAGTGGTGTAGGTTTTCTATGTTTACTTAAAATTATCTTCCATGAGCACTTTTTTATGATATCTTTGTGGTATGGACCGTTAAGGTCCATATATATTGAAAGATTGTTTTATGTTTTTTATGTTATATGCTATTATGCAAAATAAATTGCTAAAAATATTTTTCTATTTTCTTCAAGATTATTCAATGCACTGCTTTCGTACACAATTAAAACTCAAACTGGGAAGCAAAATTTAGAATTACAGAATTTAATTAATTCAAACGTTTCCGTAGGATAAAGACTTCTGTTTAGTTGCAAAGTGTTGGTGAGATCAGATCAAACAGATAACTTTAAACTAAAACGAAGAATTACAGATTTAAGTTGCATCAATTAAGAAAGATTCAATTTTACTTGCAATTTATATATAAAATTAAACCGTTCACTTAAAATAAGTTGAACACTGGCTACATGCATGACTGCAGTGAAGGGCTTGCTTCGGAACCTATATGTATTTAATTTACTAGGACAAAACTTATGTGATATGATTCTATTATGTTTATAATAATAGAATAATCACAATAATACCAATATAATATAGAATATAATAAAAATATAATTATTTTTAATAAAAGTAAAGCATTCTACAATTTAATGGTTTTAATTTTGTATAGGTATATGTTTTTTACTACATTCATTTTCCCTTAAAATATTATTTTTTGCGTAAAATAAAATTGTTTTGAAATTTTGAGAAGCTAAATGTGGGTATTATTGTGAAGTTGTTGTGTGGAGTAAAGCTGGTTTCTGTCTTAAAAAATTACTGTCTTAAATTTAAGAGTCAACACCCCATCCTTACTGTTTACAATCGTTTTTATTCGTAACTATTTTTTCTAAACTACTGTATTCCTTTTACTTGTAAACAATACTCTTTTTTTTGCTGGAGGTATCCTTTCTTTATTTTTAAGTTTAATTTTATTTATCTTTATTGTCTCTTTCGGGAATTTACATACTTTTAAATATTTTTAAGGTTTGCCTTTTTTGTCTCTAAAGGACTGTGAAAATAATAAATATTTTCCTATCACAAAGTTAAATTTTATTCTCAATTTCTATTCCATATTTTTTACTTGTAAAAAACAACGTTACAACCGAGAGTAATTAACATAAAAGTATAAAACTGTCTAAACCATTTGAGATTTCGTTTTCATTTTTTTAGCAAAAGGATAATATCTTGAAAAATACATTAAATTTTATGGTAAACATTAAATTTTAAAGCCCTAACTAATCTAATGAGTAGAGAGTATAGGTTGTTAATATATTGCACATTAAATGCATACAGAATGAATATGTTTAGTATGAGTATTAAAATAAGATACAGAAGATACAGAAAACAAGATACAAATACAATATGACCTCGATTAATGCAACCCTCGAATATCACAACTCCTCGTTTATTCCAACCTCTTAAATTTTTTCCTGTTTTACCTTTGATATTGCAATCATAAGAATTCGCGAACACACTATCGGTGCATAAGAATATTATGAAATCATGAAATTGTTTCAGATGTTCTTTCTCGATAAGAAATGGATGAGTGGATCAACAAATATTCTATGGAAAATGTGTCAATCCCAGAACAAGTTAACATCGATTAAGACTCAGATACTGAGGCCATGTAATTACACTTTAAATTAAAAATGGCGTGGCAATAAATCCAATTAACACATGCATACAATGGGCTAAGGAAAATTCCATAGCTCTTACAGAAGTTGTAATACTTAAAGATCTAAAAAATGGGGCAGTTACAATGAATCTTAATTGCAATAAAAAGCCAACTGAAATAACAAATTATTATCATAAAGTATGATTGCAATTATCTTGTTATAAATAAAAATAAGTAATCATATTATTTTCTAATAAACTTCGTGTTAATGTGTCTTTATTTGATTTAAAAATTTTAGACGCACTAAATAAACTAAAACTCGATTATTGCAACATCCTCGAATTCTATTAGTTGCATTAATCAAGGTTACTGTCTTATACAGTAATAAGACATATAAAAATTGTAAAATAATTTTAAAAATATTGAACTGCTTATCTCTGAGCATGATTTCTGGTCTGATGCAAAGTTTATAACAGAGTGACAAGTCAAGGAGGCATTTCAATGGAATTTAAATTAAAAAAAAATCTAGTTATTCAAAATAAGACTTCTCGTCATAAGTAAAGTTTATGATAGAGTGGCAAGTCAAGAAGCGGTTTCTATGAAATTTAAATTAAAATAAATTTGTAATAGTTGACTATCTGTAAATGCGACATCTGGTCTGATAAGAAGTTTATAATATAGTGACAAGGCAACAGCTGCTAACATGAAATTTTAAGTAGCAAAAACATCAAACTAAGTATCTTTAAATATCTGATGTGATACAAAATTTATAAGTGAATGACAAGTCAAGAACTGCTTCTTGTTAGAACTATAAATTGATAAAATCTGAAAGCACATGTAAATGTTTTTCTTCTACCAAGGAACCACTTACTCTCTCATTGAATATACTTCACATTTACTTGGTACTTTGCTGTACTTCAACTACGTTATGCAAATTTGACGTATACGTGCATTTTACAGTGCACCAGAACATAAAATTGCTGGTATCAATCGAACATAAAAACTTTTACAACTGAAATCAAACACTATTTTCTGTGGAAAGATACTGCTATGAATATTTGATTTGTAAATGTGTCAAGCACTTGAGTACATTGCAAATTTTCCATTTCTTCTCTTCTTTTCAAAATCGGTTTAAATGCAATACAAGAAAGTACCATAAACTGAAAGCGTGTTGAAAATTAAAATAGGTTCTCTGTACTTAATATCAAAATCGACGAAGAAATATGCATTTCAAAAACATATTTCATCTTTGTTTAAATTGTTTCGATTTCCATTATCCTTTAAATATTTAACATATATGTTTTTTACTTTTATAGCTATAATATACTATTCATGATATTGACATACTTTTTGCCGATCATATCAATGACTGTCACCTACTCACGTGTGGGCATTGAACTTTGGGGCTCGAAAGCTATTGGTGAATATACCCCACGACAAGTCGAAAATGTGAAGGGGAAACGTAGGGTAAGTTTTATAAAACCTTTTTTTACTTTTTTCGAAAAAAATTATATTTTAAATATATTAAAACTTTAAATTACTAAAAAACAAATTTATTATTTCATATAATGTTTCTTTATTTAGGTTGTGAAAATGATGATGGTTGTGGTATTGATATTCGCTGTTTGTTGGCTACCGTTTCATGCTTATTTCATTGTAACATCCTGCTATCCAGGAATTACTAAAGCACCTTATATACAAGAATTGTACTTAGCTATATACTGGTTAGCCATGAGTAATTCTATGTACAATCCTATTATTTACTGTTGGATGAATTCAAGGTGAGTTTAGCTAATTTTCAAATCTACTTGTCTTATGTATTAAATTTTATCAAATTAAACTAAATTACTAAATTAAATTAATTAAAATTAAATTAAGTTTTATTTTAAAATTTTAATGCGGATTTGCTATAATAAAATATATAAAATTTATTACTAAGTATTTAGATAGCAATTTAATTTTACAATAAATAACATTTATTTTATAATCAAAAGCCACATCTTCTATTGTTATATAGTAAATGTAATGCAAACTTATTTATTATAATTTGGGTGGGTAATAAATATCCACCCATTTGTGTGTGTGTAGTTTATTATACATATTGTGTCAAAAGCATTTGAAATGACTAAATGAAACAATAAGAAATCATCAATATATTGAAATTTTGTCCCATCAAGTGCAAAATAGCTATCCCATCACTTGACCCAATACGTTATATATTTTTCGTCGGCTGATTGATTGTATTCTTCTTTAACAGCCATAACCGAATTGAAAGGCTATTCTTGAAATTATTAATTAAGTTTCAGAAACCAAATTCAAATAATTTTGAAGTCACTTCTAAACGGTCATAAACGACTCGAAAGGCTTTTCTTGAAATAATTAATTAAACTTCAGAAACCAAATGCAAATAATTTTAAAGTCACTTTACATGAATTAAAGTCAAACACATTGTTTACCAACTAATGTTATCTGTTACGCATATTGAAGCGAAGATAGAACTTAGGACCTTAAGATTAGTGTATTACGGTTCCACTCATTATGCCAAAAAGGCCTTCGATAGTTCAGTAATTATAGGGCGGACTGTGGAATGTAAAACTAATACCGAAATCTTTAGAATGCATTTCAAATTAATAATTCAAGATTCAGGATATATATGTGATTAACCTATTGAATATAAAATAGTCTGCCTATTTATCTATCTGTCTATCCATTTGTCTGACTATCTAACTATCTACCTGTCTATCTCTCTTTCTATCTGTCTGTCTATCTATCTGTCTATCTGTCTGTCTGTCTATATGTTCGTCTATCTGTCTGTCTATCCATCTGTCTATCTGTGTGTCTGTCTATTTGTTTGTGTTTCAATTTACTCAGTTTTCAAAATAGTCAAATGAAACATTGTTAAGCAATACTTTTACAATCAACACAATTCAAATCAATCAATGGATTAATTAATTTGACTGGATCATATATGTATTGAGATATAACTTGGTGACCAAGAAAAGGTACTACACATAGACTCTATTAGATTCCTATTGATTTCAGTTAGAAATTAGTCAGTTAAAATTTTATAAAGTGTATTCTCTTTAGATAGATTAGTATTAATATGATTAATACTTTATGGGTACGAACATTACCTATTCCTGACACTGCGTTTATTTATGGATTATTGTATTCTGTCCTATCTATAATTTGCTAAGAATTCCAAAACCAAAAAGATTTAATCTTCACAAGTTCGATATAAGACTAAACTAATTTACGGTTAAATCCTTAAATTAAATAAGGGTGTTTTTGTGTCTTCCATATATGGTCTGTTGTGCTTATTTAGACGACAGTGTCCAGTCATCATCCCAATCATTGTTTTTAAATCCGATCTTTTTGAAATTAGATAATATTTGTTCGCATTTTTGAGTAGTTCGGGCATTATAGTTTAATAGGTACAATGGGAGTCGATTCAGTTAGACCACTTGTGGGATAGCTTTATTGATGAAACCTCAGATATATGGCATTGTTAGTAATGTTTAATGTCTCGGAGATCGCTTTTTCACTGGCTTGGACGAGATAACGAAAGTAAACTTATCGGATCTCCTTAACTTCATCTGGAAAACCAAATGACTTAACAAGAATCATAAAGGTTAGCAACTCGCCTCTGCCGGCAATATTTTTTGAGGGCATCACAATGGGCAAAATATGCCTCCAAGTGGAAGTGCTGACAATTGGCAGCACGCGCCTTCCGAACCTAACCTAACCTAGTAATGTTTACAAATATTTAAACCAAGTTGATGCATATGAATATGCATATAATAGCATTAATATATCACTAAGATATATCACTAATATATGAGCAGTTTGATTGCTTTGAATTAATTGTATAAAGTTTTATTTACTGTAGTGAATTTATATTAATAAGTGAATATTAATAAAATATATAATTGTATATTAGTCATAACATTATACATACATGTATAATAATTCACTGCAAATATGTTTTTAAAAAAAATTTATAGCAAAATACTATTTGCAACAGCAAAGTAAAGTTTCTGTGACTATTTATTTTTCTTATCCCCTCATGCAATAAATCTACAAATACCAAATTTAAAATCAAAGATACTTCATATGGAGCTTAAAGAGTTTCTAAAAATGAAAATATTAAAAAATATTTTTATTAAATCAACCACAATGTAATAAACTCAAATGCACACATATTTAAAATCCAACATGATATGTGTATAAATTTCAAAACCCTTTAAGCCCCAACCAGCTTGAAGGTTCTTTCTTTTACACAAAAATGAAAGCTTTTACACAATAAATGGTTAGGCGACATGCCGCAACTGCAACTACAGGAAATGAAAATGTGTGGCAACACAAACTCAAAAACTAATACAAATAAATTCAAACAAAAAAAGAAAATTGTGGCAAGCTGGCGGGTGACGGTGCAAAATTTAACACAAGAAACCGTAAAATGATGCAGAAGTTTATTTTTTATTTCGTGCGTGCCTTCACTTATGTACCTTAAAATGAATCTCAGTTATACGGAAAAACTAGAAGAACACCCCATAACCACAATGACATAGTAGGAATGTCAACTAGTATTACTCTGAGTTTTTTACTTTTCCAAAACTGTAGTTTTGAACTTACACTACTTATGACTACAGCATACACTTTATCAAACTTATGAATAGTTTTTTTTTTAATTTTGCAAAAATATTATTATATATTTTCTAGTACATAAAACTTGTCTCATGTTGTGTGTTTAGTTAATTAATTTTAGTTTATATTTTCTACTTTTTATTAATTTTGTACTCACATACGTTAAACTAATTACAGCATTTATCACGCTTTCAGATTTCGTTATGGCTTCAAGTTGTTTTTCCGCTGGTGTCCGTTTGTCCATTTGGGCGCTGAAAATTTGAATCGACGCGATAATTTGACCTCACGTTACTCCTGTTCCGGTTCACCAGATCATAATCGTATCAAGCGAAATGGTAAATGTACATATCGAAACATCAACACTCCCATAAAATGTTCTTACAATTTTCCAAACTAATAAAGTAAATATATTTCATTTACTTACAGACACACAACGATCTTTTCTATCCACATGTCCAGGTTCACCGAAAAGTCGACGCATATCACATTGCGGTAAGTCAAATTTTTATTAAATATAATTTAAGTAAAAATGTAATTTTATATAAAAATAAATGTATTTTAAATTTATTTTATATTTTAAAATACTATAAATATATTTTATGTTTATATTTATATTATATTTATATTTTAAATCTATTTTAAATATATCTTAAATTCATTTTAAATATATTTTAAATTACTTTAAATATATTTTAAATATATTTCCATTAAATGTACACTTCAGTTTAGTTCAGCCGTTAAAATACTTTACTTTTATATTGAAAGAAAATTATTTAAAATTTATTTTCTATTTTAAAATATTTTAAATATATTTTAAATATATTTTAAATATATTTTAAATCTATTTTAAATTCATTTAAATATATTTTAAATGTATTTTAAATTCATTTTAAATATATTTTGAATCTATTTTAAATTCATTTTAAATGAACACTTCAATTCTTCATTAAATGGACACTTCAGTTTAGTGCAGCCGTAAAAATGCTTTACTTTTATATTAAAAGAGAAAAATATTTAAAATTTATTTTATATTTTAAATATATTTTAAGAATATTTTAAATCTATTTTAAATTCATTTTAAATATATTTTCCATTAAATGTACACTTTGGTTTAGTTCAGCCATAAAAATGCCCTACTTTTATATTGAAATAAAAATATTTAGAATTTATTTTATATATTAAAATATTTTAAATATATTTTAAATATATTTTGAATATATTTTAAATATATTTAAATTCATTTTAAATCTATTTTAAATTAATTTTAAATATATTTTCCATTAAATGTGCACTTCACTTTAATTCAGTCGTAAAAATACTTTACTTTTATATTGAAAGAAAAATATTTAAAATTTATTTTTTATTTTAAAATATTATAAATATATTTTAAACACATTTTATGTGTTTATAATTATTTTAAATTTATATTTTAAATCTATTTTGAATATATTTCAAATACAATTTAAATATATATTAAATATATATATTTTAAATCTGTTTTAAATATATTTTAAAACTATTTTAAATACGTTTTAAATATGTTTTAAATATATCTTAAATATATTTTAAATTAATTTTAAATATATTTTCCATTAAATGTACACTTTAGTTTAGTTCAGTTGTAAAAATGCTTTACTTTTATATTGAAAGAAAAATATTTAAAATTTATTTTTTATTTTAAAATATTATAAATATATTTTAAACACATTTTATGTGTATATAATTATTTTAAATTTATATTTTAAATCTATTTTGAATATATTTCAAATACAATTTAAATATATATTAAATATATATATTTTAAATCTGTTTTAAATATATTTTAAAACTATTTTAAATACGTTTTAAACATGTTTTAAATATATCTTAAATATATTTTAAATTCATTTTAAATATATTTTTCATTAAATGTACGCTTCGGTTTAGTTCAGCCATAAAAATGGCTTACTTTTGTATTGAAAGAAAAATATTTAAAATTTATTCTTAAATCATTTTACACTTCAGTTACTTAGAGGATAAAATGAATGCTTTTAAAATTTTCCAAGAAAAAAATAATTATAAAATTTTTTTTACAATAAAAATAAAACAAAGTAGTATATTAATAATAAAAAAAAAATATTAAACTATTTTTAATATTTTTTCTTTTTTTTGTATTATGTTATTATAGTATTTTTCTCGATGTGCTTTACTACAATATGGCCAAAAGCGTTAATAACCCTGAAGCAGACAATGAATTAAGCAACTTATTACTTTCTTACTTATGCCATTTATTTGTTCTAACCAAAAGGATATGTTGAAATGTAACAAACGATTTTGCTTTATCTGAACACGTCTGACTGATTCTTAACATCTTTTTCACCCAAAATCTGTGTGGTCTTTATTCCTGTTTGCCTCGCAACAAATTAAACGTTAATATCCGTTTATGGCGTTTATGGCGTTTATTGCCCTCCTAACTGCTAATAGCTTTTCTGGCTGGCTGGCTTAAAAATATTTAAATAACGTGCACCGGAGGTTATTTTCAAAATTAATTTCAGATTTGATGATTATGACATAAATTCAACCGTAATTCATCTTTGAAATGGGTTACTTTCTTAACGACGAGCAACGCAAGAATGTTGAAAGAGATTAAAAAGGATAAGAAAAAAGAATTTTTTGTGGGAATAAAATTAAGTGAGGTATTTTATACTTAAGATGTATTAACAAAGTATTAAAGAAATTGAAATTTTAAAATGGTTGTTAGGAAAGCACGAACTATGCCATAGTTATGATATCCTATATAAATAAAAATAAAAAATTTTTGTTTAAATATTATTTTAGAGTGAACATTAAATGAGTTGAAGCAGAAATAAACTATAATACTATTAATATTATTGGTATTATGGGTTCAATGTACGAATGTGGAATAGCATGGGATTAGCTTTTAGTCAGACTCAATCTTTCGAGCTTAAAAGATAATTATATCATCACAAGTTAAAATAAGTAAGGAAAGGGTGTATTAAAAGAAAAAGTAAGTCGATTAGGAAATAGTATTAGTTAATGAAGAGATAATGAAAAGATAATAGAAGACAATATTCTCTTTAAATAAGCTATTTTATACTACATTCAATTTCAAATAATACATTTCTAAGGTTACGGGTAATTTAATTAATTTCAAAAATTGTTGGTGGCTGCTACTTACAAATAATAAACGAACTAAAATTCCTGGGTTTGGCGTCCAAAATATATAGGTTCTTAAGAAGATACTTCTTTGATAGTTTATCAGACTGTTCATCGGTAAAAACGAAAGACTTATTAAATTAAATTAATAAGTATTAAATTATCTAAATTCTGCAGAATGGATTAAGTCTTTACTCTTTTATACTACGGTTCTTGCGAGGAATGTGGTAGCAAAACGGCGAAAAATCGCTAATTGAGGTACATGGAAGTAATCTAACGGATATAAATGTAGTGCAGGTTTTTTTTTCTTAAAGAGGACTCAAAAGCATAAGCCAGTACAGGACTTTAACCCACTTAAAACATGTCCTCATGTCATCATGTCCAAACGGAAATTCCCTCCTGGAATTAAAGTAAAGTGTCACGCCAGAAAGCGATAACATTCATTATGTATCCGACGAGCTTATCATCTTTAAGTTGAAGTTTCCTGTGCATATATGTTTGCCAATTGCCTAACTCATCTCCTTTCTCGATTCGTTGAAACATGGACAAGAGAAAAGAACGTGGTTCGCATCATCAACAACCCTTCATAGCTGGGACCTTTCGTGCTTGAAGCGGTGGAGATACTGTTTAAAGACTCCATACTTGGTTAGGATCTGAGTATTGTAGAAGTTCACCACCTCCGCATCCGAATATAGTGCGGATATTCGAATATAAACCACGACAATTACGTGGTATGTCATGTGCTTGGTATTATAAATATTATGTCATATTACACTATTATGCTGAACATAAGGAATTGTTTAAGATATCTACAGATATTCAATTATTAACTACAATTTGTTGTGATTTCAAACATTGCGTAATACAAAAAATCCACCGTTTTTACAGACCGCATAGATATCACAGCTTCTTCTTCATTTGCTAGAGAAGAAATATTGGTTTACTTTTTTTACAGAAAACTTCATCACTCTACACTATTGAACATTTTCAAAAATTTTACTGTTTGATTTTCTTTAGGAAATTTATGATTCTTGTCTTAACATAATTGATAACCAATGATTAAACAAGAAATAGCTTCGAATTTAATATTGAATTAATCATTGCTTTTTCTACTTTTTCTTTGGCGGATTCTAGTTCTTGTTTGTTCCTTGTTTGTGGTATCTTTAAGTCAAACGGTTCTAGGAGGTATCTTTATTTATGTCTTTGTGGCATACGCCATGTTTTTAATACTGAGTTTGTGGTATCAATTCTTTATCAATTCCATCTGCATTAGATGCCTCTCCGCATGATCCCCTACTCTTCTTATTTCAGTTTTGCTATCTTATCCAACTTTATCATTACAGTGATCTTCCCAAACGTACGTAGTTTTGTTTCTAATCGAATTTTCAAGGTGCGGAAGTTTTAAAACATCTCACTCCCTTTTTCGACATAAATTATATATTTTTAATATTATTTTATTAAAATCACAAATTATAAAAAATAATCTTATTATTATAAGCATTTTTTTTTAAACTAAAGTAACATGATTTTCAATTTACCTATATATTATTCCAATTTATTTTTCTCTATTAACTATTATAAATTTTATTCATTTAAATTAATTTAATTTTTTTTATTTTACTCATCCTTGTTTTATTACATTTAGTTCCTTAAAGACTTCTTTTATTACGAAATAAAATAGTTTTATATATATATTTTTTCCCCTACAAGCACATAAAGAAAATCTTGCACAATAATTGATAGAAAAGAAATTTTATAGAATTTATAGAAATTCAATTTAGTTGCCATCTTTGCAGTTTCTTTAGACAAGGCACACAAATATTTATATATTGAAAATTTATATTACAGGTGTCCTAAGAAATTCCAGTAGCATGTCACAGCGCGATTCTGCACGTTTTTCAGCACCGACCGGCAGTACCAATACCGGCTACTCCTATCATCAGCGCTGTCTTATGAACAATCAAGAGCTTACTTCGCTGAACAGTCAAAGCTGTAAGGATTATATGAAAGTGCCAACACGTATGAATACAGTGCAAATGCGACAAAATTGGACACCACCACAAATGGCAGGCACTTCCGTTTGTGGTGGTATTGACATAAATAATTCAATTGACAGCCGAGCAGCAACAGCAGCCGCTTTGATGTTCTGACAGCAAGATGACTTTCACGCAAACCCAAACTCAAGCCCCAGCCCCAACCCCAACACGAGCCCAAATACAAACGCAAACGCAAACGCAAACAGCAACGGAAACGGAAACATTCGACTCAACAATATGAATGGAAGCATAAAATCGGTAGTGAACAATAACAATTACAACAAAACAATGGAGTCTAGGACAACACTACATACGCCAAGTGTTATGTTTGCCGACAACGATAAAACTTGGCTATAAATTCCTTCTCCCATTCTCTCCCATATATTTTCTATGTTGGCAATATTGGAACCGAAACCGAATCTGTACTGAATTCTATCAAAACGAACAAATCACAGTGAAATGTTTTTTCTCTCTTGTTGTGGTAATTGTATAAATTTATTATATATATATACAATATATATGTAAACATATATAAATATATATACATACATATAAAAGCAAACACATTAAAGTTTATTATTGTTAGGAGCTTAAATTAATGAAGCAGTGAAGTGATTGTAAATATAATGAAATATTTTATCAATGTTACTCATAAGTAGACGCAGCAAGTCTCATAGTTGCTGTGCTTTATACTCGATGTGATTTTAACTATAAATGATTTTAATTAAAAAAAAAATATTTAATACTTTAATTAAATGTATTATATGTACAATTTCTACTTATAAGTTATAATGTTGAGTAAATAATAAATTAAACGCATTTACAAATAATTTAATTTAATTTAGTTAACTTTCTTTAAGAATATACATATATCAATAGCTAGCCACTGTAATAACGACATTCGCCAGATTTTCAATCAAACATAATTCAATCACATATAAACTATTTTAATTACTTAGTCTTTTAAAAACAGCTTTTAATAGTGTCAACATTTCAAAAAAACATTTTTAAAACAATATTTCCTTAAATTTGTACAGAGAAAAATTTATATAAATTTGAATCAAAAAATTAATAAAAATTTTCAAATAATCGCTACACCACAACCTTTCAACTATTTAAAAAATAATGTTTTTTAAATTAATATACATATATGTAATGTTTACCGTTGAAAATATTTAAAATTTTATTGTAAATATATATATATAAATATTTTAAAATAAATCTGTATTACTGGTATTTCCATAATTGTTTTAAATTGATTTTTTTTTAAATTAAGCATCAATTTTTTTTAAAATTATTATTTTTAAAAATAAGCAAATGAGTAAAAGGCCTCGTAGTTGAATTATGAAACCTATGTTTTTTAATTATTTAACTACTATATTGATATACAGATGTCTGAGTTGGTGATACAACACCTTAACTCTATTTTATCTGTGGACAGTTTTAAGTCACACTAAGAATAGCTGAATACCAGGCTTTATAATATGATGGATCTGATGTCTTTGTATCTGTCTGTGTTTATCAGATTTCGCTGAATTTTTAGGTTGCTGAGTGCACATCTTTAGGACAATTTACTATGCAAGAAATAAACCATCTTATTCTATCTTTTGAAAGAGAAATTTCATGTAAACGATAATCATCTTCATTCCATTGCGTTCGGAAGAGAATATTGGGCCAGAACAGATACTGTTTAAACGTGAGTTTCGCACCTCCAAATCCATTGTGCGTGCTGTCGAAGCAGTCTACCTGCTTCGCCGTATATGAGCGGGTACCACTTGGAGACTGTAATATCATTGGATTTAAACTAATGATTTATTTCCAGACAAAAAAGTTAAGAAAGCGAGCAAATCCCTGACGATGGGTTACAAGCGCAATGTCTTTTAACTTTGCACATAGTGGCAGATCACTTTTAAATAGGCCGCTCCTAACCTGAAGAACAAACGCCTTTTGCAGCCACTCTTTATGAGTACCGACGCTACGTTATGGACTGCGCTTAGCTTCATTACTCTTATTCGACCTTACCGGCAAGGGAGGGTATCGTTCGCATCGCTCGAAGAATCTACATAACAACTCGAAGAATCTACGTAACTACTCGCAGATTCTACGTAACTACTAGGCCTCCTCACCACGTCAAGGTGGCATTCTCCGAGGAGGATTATTTCAGTGATAATGATTTATCAATATTATAGCATTCTGAATATCGGAAGTAGAACTAAAACATAAGATCGCATAAGGTCAAAATTGGTTATAAAAAAATTGGTTATTACATTTGACAGAACTTTATTGTTAGAACTTGTAGTCCAAAAAGTATATGAGTTCAATCAAACCAAGACATCTGTCTCTAAATAACATTGAAATTTAATATTTAACGATATCCGTAACAGCTATGTACGATCAGCACAACAAATCACTTAATTAAAAATAAAATTTTTTGCTTTTAAATTTCCTCACTATTGACTTCTTTTTTAAAAGAAATTGGATTCTTATATATATATATATATATGGTACTTAGTTTTGTGCTCAGTAAACCTTTTGATTTAAATGCAAATTCGCATGAGTTCAATAAGCACTTTAGCACGGATTTGTTGCTACATCCCTATAAACAACTGTTTCGATTGTTCATGTATAGATAGTTACATGCATCTATCTATAGATAGTTAGTTACATCTATCTATAGTTTATAGTTTAGTATCTATTCAGTTTGTATAGTTTACGAACCTGTGAAGTTCATTAATATTAATTATCACTAGTTCCCTAGAATTATTTAAAAACGATTTTTCATAAGGTAGATGTTCTCTACCTCCAAAAAAGAGGTATGTAGAGAGAAAACACACCTTTTCCTCTGTTTTATTGCAGCTGTGACAGTAAATATTGTGAGGATTTTTCATTCTGGTAATATGCCCTTTAGTAGGCTAGAAGTCCGCAATTACTGTTTTTAATCTAGAGAGATCGCTTCCATAACTGTTTCTCAGCGATGTGAGCTTGCAATTGGAACCTGGTCAAAGTGTCGTATAAGTCTTGAATGTTACAAGATTTTTTTTATCTATAATTCACGATTTGAAGATATTTGGCATTAATAGATCGTTTAACCACATTAATAGACGTGAGCATGAATTCTGCAACTGTTTCTTGCAGCCTTTCTATTCTGGTAGGTATTTTTAAAAACAAATCTTCTATATACAAGTTAAATTAAAATTAAAATTTGTATAATAAAGAAACTATTTATGATTTCTCCATAGCTTTAATATAGTGGAATAAATAAGCACTAACCAAAATAATATTTGATGGCGAAAAGTTTGGGGAAATAAATTAATAAATAAATAAAGGATTGACAAAATAGAATCCAATAAAAAATCAATCAAGAGTACAGGATCATATGAGGATAGCCAGTGTAACAATCCGGTCTTTATATAAATTTCACTTCACAACTTCATTCAATAAAACAACAAAAACACTTTTCGTTGGTATTAATACTGTTTATAATCTTAGACACAACTGTCTATAATGAATTATCAATATATGGTATGTTATAAAATTCAGGAATTAAACTACGATTAGTCCAAACATTTCGTTACATTACCTTATGTCTCCCCGAGATGAGCTTGTCATGTATCGCCTTGGGCAGCGCCTATATTTCATTTAAGTTTAAGTTAGAATATAATAAAATACAAAATAATAAAAATAATTAAACAAGAAAAAAGAAAATGGAAGGAATATATAAAAAAATTGTTTTTAGAAACAATTAAAGGGTTAAAAGTTTTATTAGACCTTTCTTATAGCCTTTAATGTTGTAAATGAATTTCATTTATTAGTTAAAAATTTATATGAAAAAATTAAATCCATATAGAATATGAACAAAAAGATTCACAATACAAAAAATATTCTTGGAATCAATTGACCTTCCGCTCCCTTATTCTTTTCCCTTAAATCATTTAAACTTTTTGAGCGGCGTAGTAAAATATTTCAGAAAAGTTTTCCAAACAACAAATAAACAACAAAAATATTTACTTACTTCCTTGGGATATGCAGCCATAATAATTCGTCGTTAGTTATAATCTTCGTCATATTTCGATATAATCAACTGGAAACTGCCACTGGCAGAAAACAACTGCTATGACAAAAATATTAAATGATTTCCTAAAGCAGCAGTAACAATGCTAAGCTTATCGGAGGCATTAAGATTAGCGACGCACTCACTGTAGCTCGTCGTTGGCTTTGGAAGGATATTACGCTGTACGGACATGATACAAAACAAAAGCACCTCCATTTTGCGTATCCTTTATCGCTAACAAAATAAAAAATTCCTAGTAGATATATTTGCACACGTATTTGATGTATTTCACATTCTCCAAAAAAAAAAAAAGAAAAGTTTTTTATTTACTTCCTTTTTTGTGTATGAAAGGATGCATAACTCAAACACAAGCGGAAGTTAGGCATATCTCCGACTACGTGAGTATTGATATGTTTGCTTCAAGTCATAAAATTTTATTTCTTTTCATTTTTTAATCTACTTTTTTCAATCTAAACTCACACGTGTAACACACTAAGTCTTGTCGTTCCAAAAAAGGTCGGGGGGATTTATTACCGGAAAGCAAATATTAATTGCCAAATATGAAATGGAAATTAAATTCCAAGAAAAATGAATAAAAATAAAATTTCAAAAATCGAAGTCATTAAAACTTTGTCACATGTTTTAGAAATATAAAAACGTGTTTGAAATACATCATATATGTAGATAAATATGTATACCTATATACATATATATATACCATATATGTTGGCACCCGTTTTTAATTAAGGCAAAAAGTTTGAAAACAAATAAAAATTTTAAAACGATACAATTGAAATTAGAAATTGAGTGCTGGTTTTTAAGGATTTTATGGCATAAAAATATTGCAGGAAAATTAAATATTGCAAATTAATTTTAAACTGCAATCATTAAAATATGACTCATTATGATGTATATATATTGTATTTTATACAATTAGGCCCTATGCTCCACGAGGAGAGAAGGACAGTAAGTAAGTAAGTAACATTATACAACACACTGATTGATATAAGGAAAGAAATCCACAAATATTTTCTCTATTCCTATATTCCCAGTGTATAATACGAAGTAAATAAGGAAATATTATATGTGGCTCCAATAAGATTACTACAATTTGAACATCGATTTTGAAACCGGTTAATTCAACTAGGGATCTTGATTTGCTGAGGATCCTATTGAGACAGTCAGTTATCTCACAACGGTCTAACTAAACTGTCTTTATGTAAAAAAGGAAGCTGACAACCAAACGTACCTATCTAAGTAGGTGGATAAATACGTAGACTACAAAATAAATTAGTACTACTGGGACGATTATCAACAAGCTTTGAAATAAAATAGGCAACCTAAAAAATTCATTTTCAATTCGTTGAACTTGTGTTTCCAAATGAAGCTGTAGTTCATAAGCTCGTTATAATTTAAAGCACGGCAAGTGCTTTAGTCACTATTTAAATAATAAAAAACTGACAAAAAAAAACCTGGAACTAGAGCACTGAAAGTTTGTGCAGTCTTGGCTACTCGCTTCTAATTTAACAGGAACTATTCCAAGACTGGCACTTGCAATCCAAACAAATTATAAACGGACTATAAACTAATTAAAAAAATTGGAATATTTCCTACGACCGCTGATGATGAGTACTTGGCAATATACGAAACAGCGTTGTATGGTCAACCAAATTTCAATATATTAACTAAATTTTTGATTTTGTCTTTTCTTTTCTATACGAACCCTTCTAACTCTTAAAATAGCTTCTTTGTCGTCATAAAAAACGTAGCTTTTTGCCGAATAATTAACATTAAAAAAAAATCTGTTCTACTCTAATAATCTAATAATCTATTAATATTCTAATTCTTGTAATTTATTATTCCAGATATAGTAATCTGGAATTATTGCTATATCTTGAATTATTATTATCATTGTACATAAATATAACATACAATACACACTACATGCTAAGGATACCTCGTTAAATGATTGCATACTTATATTAAAAATATATGTATATAACCAAAAGCTTAAAATAGCTAAGATCTTTCATACGTGGATAAATTACAGTTTATCGGAAAATAGAAAATGAGATAGGTAGACTGTGTATAAGAGTTCTGGAAAAAATGCAAGTAAGAAGCTGCAAAAGAAAAACAAAAAACTGATAAGGGTTTTCACTTTAAGAAAAGAGATATTGATGTTAAAATGTGTTTAACATATCATATTAAAACTAAGGTTCACAGAATATCCTTTAGAAAGTATATATCAATTTACAGTTATACTTCGGTCTTTTTTTTGATGAGAATAAAGCTTACACTTTCCAGACCTTACATATCAAGAAAGAGAAAAAAAGGTTAAATAAGATCTTCAATTATTTATGTTAAGGTTTTTTCTATTTTTTATAAATATTTTCTATATAAATGTCGCTGACGTTTCCAAGTCTAGTGGACTTATTCCTTAGAGCGGAGTGTTATTTTAACTAATTAAGTAGAAAACATATACCTAGAAAGCTATACATAATAAAACAAACTATAATTTTCTACATTAAATTTAGAGTTCAAAAAAATTCTTCAGTAAATACATATCAATTTCAACTTTTGGGATATGATATCTTCTTCTCTTAATTGCAAGCTCACCATTTTATCATCGAGGAAAACGAAAAAAAAAAGGTTTAAGACTATATAAATACTATGTTTCAAGAAAAATTCTTAAGAAAATTCATATCCATACTGATCCCCCGATTTTAAACTCGTGAGCATAGTAGTAGCACCTATTTATTTAATTGAAATATTTCATTTTTTTTAATGTCTTTTATTAAATATCGTTTTATTAACATATGACTAGTTTATTTTACACCTAGTTATTTTCTTCTTCCTTCCTTTTTTAAAAATTTTTTTAGTAAAATACCATAAAAAATATTATTCATCAGGAATAATATTTCAAAACTGGTAAATTTTTTTTATGTAAAAATTATTACCAAGTGAAATAGCAGAGCCAATAATATTGAGTATCCTTACAGGCACTCTTGTAGTTCCAATGAGCTAATATATTAATCGCATTTAATGCATTGGTGTGGAAAATAAAACTGCATACGGCAACTTCTATCATACGGAAAACATTTCCAATTCCTTTTGAGTTTTGCTCATATGCACCCGCTTACACCACTTGTGTTAATCGCTCAGTGCATTTCTGTCTTGTATTGCAGCAACTTAACAAGTTTGTTTATGTTTCCAATGTTCTCGGAACATAAACTGATGATGGGTACATGCACCACAACAGCATTCCAATAGCTGTCAGTGCCACATGCCACCAGACTCCTTTTAATTGAATCTTTTGTATGTTGGCAATTGTTGCTTGTTTGCGTCTTGCCCATTGAACACAAATTGCAAATTAAAATGCAGCCAATTTATTTAATGCCAACGGTTTTATCGACATCTGCTGCTGTTTCAGCTTAAACTGCAAAGCTTCCTCACATCGTTTTATTTTACACTTCCATAGTGTAATTTATTAAGGATTAAGGATAACGTTTACATTTACGTTCACTCTCACATACTGCACTTCAACCGTTTGCTGCTGGAGAAGAAAAATACACATATAAACGAAAATTTACCAATACTTGTGCAGAGCAGCAACTGTTCTTATTTCAAAAAAACAATATTGAAGCAATTTTTTAAAATTGCTAAGTTTAAAAATATGTACTTTCTGCAACATCCTCCCGTTTACCTTACAACAACAGACACTGCTTAAGTTCAATCAATTAATTAGTGCAATGTTGCCAACGTCCTTGTGCTCGAACATGGTGCCGTTAATACTCATTTATAAATAATTAAAATGAAAGTTAAGAGGTATACCGCCAGAAGTAATTATTATCTTAAACCATTATCCTATATGTTAAGGATTTAATGGTGGAGCAGAGCAAATTTAACCGACAACCGGGAGTAGTGTGCACTTTATTCAATGTTTACTAAGTAACGACTAAATTATATTTAAAGTAAGAGTGATAACGTGATAAACTCAATTAAAGATAAAGATAAAGATAATAGATAATTAAGATATGTCATTTCTTTAAGAAATATATAACAAGTATATATCTTTCCTTAAGTAATAAGAACAGAACATAATATAATTATCAGCATTACTACTTGAAGACATCTATTGTCTATTGCAATGCCCTTAAGTTACCAAAGAGAGGCCAGTCAATCAGTCATTGATTGATCATTTTTATTCCATGTACTTACCTTCTTAAATTATTTAGCCCTCCAAATGAACTAAGTCTATCTCTAACTCTGAATAACAGTTCTTTAAAGCAAAAAGTTAAACCTGGAGTGCTCATCTTTATGCAAGTGAACAGATCAGATCACTTTTGCTGTTTAGCTGGGTCGTGGTAAAGCAGATTAATCTACCATTAATAAACCACAAAAATTTTAAATCATCACCTTAAAAAGAAAACTCACCTTAAAACTCTGGTATATCAGAAACTCTAATATTAATACAGATCTTTCTATTAACCCCATCCCCAAGCACCCCAACCCCAGATGATCACCCCAACAATTCTTTAAGTCCACTTAGCAGTATTCAAGTAACGAAGGGAAAATTGTCGATATCCATATTGTTATTGTTTAAGCATAAAGGACTTTTATAATAAAAAGAAATTGTATGCGGCCAGGTTTTAACAGTGTCAATAAAATGAAGCGCACCTAAAGGATGAAGTAGATATGCTTGCCAACTTCATTAAATAACAATTCACAATTCTGACAAGCCAGTAAGGAAACGATCCTATATACAATAAAATCGCTATGTTTGAAGTTCTAAAAAGAAATATAGAAAGTGAAGAACTAACTCCAACGCATTTACTTCATAGCAACTTTTTGAAGTATCGAAACAAGATCACGGTACCATGTTAGCATCTAGAAATCGCAAGCTCCTCTGGTTTGCTAAAACCCAAACATTTTTTTAATACTGCGAAATTTTTTCGATCTTCCACGTACCGTGCGTTACAGATTTATCTACGTTGAATGCTGATTTCTACTATGTTTGTAAACAAACAGTTTACACAAGAGGATAATAGTTGAGATAACGACCTGTTTGCAGGTTGCCTGGTTTATCCGATAATCAAAGGAATACCTTGTGATATTAAATGATTAGTAACCGAGGTTAAACTTTTTATTACAAACCTTAATTTGCCATTCTGAATTCAATTGGTTTCATTACTACCCGACTATGTACAAAGGTACTTACATTTGATGTTCAAATTGTATCAACATCAACAAATCATGCAACCCACATATTCTATACCATTCATACCTTTGGACAGAGAAGTTGTAAACTTTGATATTCAATTCGATAGATATTTCTGGGTTTCCTCCGCACTAATTGACTTAAAGTTGAAGCTCCAATTACTAGTACATCTAAACTATGTAAAGGGCCTACATAAGTTGTCAAAAAACAAAACCCAACAATACGAAATGGAGATTCGTAAGGACCTTATTCTCTTATACCACACATCTTCATCATTTCCATTGCTTCTCGTTAAGATAAATACACTGAATATAAAATTCGATATATTAAATTTATTAAGACGTGCAAATATATATACATATATATGTTAAACTAAAATATACTAATACATTATTGGCTTTTTCATACAATTACAATTTACGTTGTCTGCTCTTAACCTTAAACTAAACACCGATTATTTTAAAAAAATATGAAAAGATATTTTACAACTTTCTGTGCATAATTTTCAAGTACTGTATTAAATGTTCTCCAATATTCTCGTTTATATAAAATGCACACTCCAGATTTCTGGTAGCCTCTTCGCTACCATCTTGCGATTGTAGCATGTCATCAAGTGAATCTGCAGTAATAGTACGCTCGCGACTAATGAATGATGAGTGCAAAAAACTCAGAATGCGTTGATTAGTATAGTCCATATCCTGCATGAAATATAAAATAAATTATAAAAACAATGTGAATATATTAATTTAAACTTACCTCTTCGATATCTTCTTTTTCTCTCGCTACACGTACATAAACTAATGTTTTATCATTACGATCTGCTAATATTTCAACTTTATCCACAGGACATGCAAACAGTAATTTATCCCATTGTGCATCCAAAGCAGCAAACACAGCCGAGGTTAAAAATATATAAGCACGCTGTGTTTTTAACGGGACTAGAAGTGTAACTTCATGATAGGCCAATATTTGATCAGTGCTTAACACGCCTGGTAATAATTTCCAAATTCGATATGCAGAGGGAATACTCTCTTTATTGTAGTATAATGACGACATACGCTGTTGTGGCATTGCATTGAAGCCCACAGATTGCAGCATACCCTGCCCAGTAAGTGCCACCAATTCAGCAGCGCCACTTATTGGTTTTGTAAAAGCGCCAACAATACCTTTGCCAACACCTGTCACAACTTCGACCGGTGAACGAGCTTCAAGTGTATGCCTCGCTATACCACCAACCGCACCAAGTAAACTTATGCCAAAGCCAGTTATACCCTGTGTAAAGCCCTCAGTAAAGCCCTGTGGTCGTGTACGACGTAATGCTTCTGTGCGTTCTAAATGTTCGGTATCCAAGGTAAGTCTATCTAAGTTACGCGCTACTGAGGCTGCTAATTTTGTGACTGAATTGACCGTACCAGCAGTTACATTGCGTAATAGAGATGCAGAACCCTGTGTTATGCCTACAATAAAACCCCAAGGACCACGAAACAGACCTTGCACCGGCATTGATACAAAATCACGCAAACCAGTTGTAAACGAACGCGCTAAGCCACTTGGACTACCTAGTATTTCCAGTGAACCCACAACCCAACCAGCACCGAATATAGCGCCCGATAAATAATGCATACCTAACGACTGTCCGAAACGTAATGGCGCAGTAATAATATGTTCACGTTCATATGTACCAAACGAAAGTGGTGAATGATCCAATGCTATATATAAACGCACAGATGTGTGTACTGACAATAGCACACTTAATGGCTCAATACGAAATGAGCGCAACTGTAAAGGTTCTGATATGCAAATCGCTTGCGCAGCAACGTCACGTGGCAGTAAATTTTCGCCTGCTTGTAATGTAATAGGAAGTTCCTCTGCTGTTGGCACAAAAACACAATTTGAAGGTTCACATTCTACCATAGCATCTAACAAATCATTTAAGTAAGCGTCTTCGATATAAGTTCGTATTGGACTAAAACTACATTTAATCGAGCATAATTTAAATTCGTCGTTGTAAAAATTTAAGACGAAAAGTGCCATAAACGAACGACTTTCAAGATTCCTATAAGTTTGATCCAAGTCATGCACTTGTGGCATAGAGTTGGTACGTTTGTATAAGTCTTGTGCACATAGCACTACAGGGAAGTCATACTTTCCAGAAGTATATAGTTGATTATCAATCTGTAAATTTGTAAATGCAATATTTAGTTGACGTTTATCACTTTCATCCTCGTACGAGAGTAGAAAGTCATCGCCGTACAAAGCGAAGATCTCACGTTTCACATAATCACGATCTTTGGAGTCTGTGTTAAGACAGAAATTTACTTCCTTTATGAAAATTTTAACGTTCGTTGTCATTTTTTGCTGAAGTTCTTCACTAAAATGGGAACACTTTTGATGTATTATGAATAATCCAGAACTGACACTAGAGTTCTTATAGTCTAACATCAAATTGGAATGTTTTTTAGTTTCAGCATCGAGTGGTGGATGAGATGTGAGCAGTCTTGAGCGTAGATCTTTAACAGAGAATTCCGTTTGCTGTAAAAATATTTTTGTATTTAAATTATTAAAAGATATACATAAACTTCTATTTCTTAACATAGAGTTATTAACATAAATTATATAACACAATAGCTAATCTGGGGTATATTTATATAAAGTATTTTTGAACAAGTTATTTACTATTAATCTTTTTAAATAAATTAGGTCATAAATAGAAAATAGAGAATAATAAGGAATAAAATATGATATCATTGTTACAAACGGATAGCCCCTAGTGAAGAGTGATATCATATAATATCATTGTTGCAAACGGATAGCCTTGAGTGATGTTCATATTGTGATGAACATATTTGTGATGTCATATTTGCTGATATTTGCTGATATATAGTAGTATTTGCTGTCTCCAGTAGCCAAAGTTTGATTATAAGACAGGTTTTAAAAAACGTAAAAGCAGATTCTACGACAATAGCAAGATTAAATTTATCACAGACTAAACTATAACGGATTACACACGAAAACTATAATAATGTGTATTAAACTTTCAAGGGAGTTCGGCATAGTCTACCATAAAACATCGTCAGCAAACTTTAGGGACTAGTTGGTTATTGCATATTTACCACAAAATCGATTAAAATATCTTAATAACATTAAAATATCTTAACTTTCACGGGTCTAAAAAGATTAAACGTTTATTGTGTCTTCAAGATAATTCTCTTACCGACTCTTTTTAGACTTATATGTCCCAACTTCCATGACTCTTGTCTCCATGTTTTTTTATTCAATACAATTATTTCTTTGTTAAGTATCTAAATATATCAGAGAAAGAGTAAACCAACAATTTAAATTTGTTATAATTGGCAGAATTATTATTTTCTGAACTAAAGGAATTTATTTGCCCTTCTGAACACATAAGTTAAAGATTCAAGATTAGCTCACCGATTTTTTTAAATAACGAGTAATTCGCTGAAACCCCATGTCAATGCGTGAGTACAATATACTACAAAGCCTTCCATTGAAAAGATAGTGTCTTCTCGACACTTAGCTAACAAAATTATTTCACAAGAAGAGCTTAATACTTATTTAACACGAATAAAGATGTCATCATTACGTATTCAATCTACAGTTCTATGCTGTGTTATGAAGTCTATCTGTTTATCTTGCCTCTCGATATGCATGTAAAACGGATCCTAAAAGATCTGTACTTTCGTTCTACAAATGTTGCAAGGATTCTGAATCTTGTTATAAGTATAGGTTAGAACCTTTTCTGTTCTTTTAAATACTTTTGTATTCCCTTTATCTTATTTTACTTAACCCACAATCCCATCATTTATTTTCATTCTCCTACATTAACACACTACCATATATTTCACCAATATAAAAGATAGTTAAAAGCCAATAATAATAGATTCAGTTTCCAGAAAGTCTACACTTAAGTCAGATTAATCACAAAAGCTAATATTTGTTTATATTATAGTTAAATATGTTATCATATACATATATAAACATTATTTACCTCTGTTATATAATAAATTGAAAAACGTATCACTCTATGTTTATCACAGATTATAATTTTCACATCGCCATGGTTTGGAATATGCAGAAACTTTTCCCAAGATTTATCAGTGCTTATTGGTTTTGACCAACATATTTTATTTTTCTTTATTTGATCTAAAAATAATATAAATAAAAGATATATATATATAATGATCGAAAAATATTATATAAAAGAATTTTACTCACCATCATAAAGTGCAATTGTTAAATTACATACGGAAGACTCAATATCTGGAAAATTTATATACATTTCCGGTGGTGTATAGAAACAGTTACTATGCGCTGGCAAAAGTTGAAACCAATCAAAATGGCGCCCATGATATTCTGACACAGTACTGGAGACTTTGCTGTTTTCCGAAGCTTTAGTTTGTGCAACTACAAAAACAATATCTGTCTGATTGTTAAATAATATCGAGGGTGATATGTCATCAAACACATTTAGATAATGTATGCCATTTTTTTCAATCAAAGTCACTACAAATGGCAATGAATCGCTTTCATTTTGTATGCTAAGGCAACGACGCGTAAAGGGCATCGATAGTGGTATGGGTATTGAAATTTCGGAATCATTAGAAAATTTAATGCAAACAAAATAAACAAATGCAGTATCGTTAGTGCGCTTAGACTTCTTTACGTTCAAATCATAAAATGAATCGATGTTCAGACCAATGCTATGGAAAGTAATAACACTGTTGATTTAATTTGATATAATTATATACAATATATTACCAATTAGTAGCAGACATCACTGTTTTCAAATGTAGTTTCTTGGCGTCCATATCTAGTGTCCTCACACATTCTCTAGTTGAACTTTCTTTGTGATCCATTGCGAATGAGAGTACATAAAGCTCATGTTTAGAAAAATTAGTAATGACATATTTCGTGCATAATTTAAGTACCCTGCGTTCTTTTTCAATTGTGTATAGTAATACAAAATGTAACACCTCTCCAGAACGTTGTATGACAATATCAATACTAGAATTGCTAGCTAACACTGAATGTTTACCGCTACGCACATCATTATTTGCATCTAATAAATAAATGGGTTTTGAAGAAAACCAAGCGGTTCCATTTCTAATATCTATAGTGAAAGCGCCCTTAGTAGCAAAAATCATTGTAAGACAATTCGATTCTAAACTAATACGCTCATTGGTAGTTAAATTACAGAAACCAATATTCAAACCGGTAGCATTGATAAGCAACGCCCATGGTGTTAACTCTAAACATAAAGTACATGAAAAATCACGTGATAAGCCAGCATTGTAAATAATGTCAGCTGTAACACCGCTTTCAGTGATGGTACGTTTAACACGTTTCTCCTCATTATCACTTAGGGGCCAATCAGCGTGCATTTCTTTTCCCAATTCTGTTAAGGCATAATCAATATTCCAAATCTGCTGATCATATTTAAAGAACTTAAACCAATCAATTGATTTTAAACTCAACATATAGCTCGTCGTTGTTGAATTTGTGCTGGAGAAGCTAAATATTTAAAATATATTACATTTAATAATCTAATTTTGATTCTATTACTTACTTATAAATGAAATCCAACTGATGTTCACTTAAATGTGTTGCTGGCACATGTAGTGTATGTTTGTCACCTTCTCCGTTTAGTTGGAAGTTGTCTTTTGTAAAACTCTCTGTAACTCTCACAGGACATGTTAGCATCGAGAGTATTTCAAAAATTGGCCAAATTGTTATTAGCACTTTTTGAGGTTGGAACTTATCTGTTGCTAACTCTGGAATATCTTCACGTAAAACCCTAACCCAATAACTTATGAAATCATTGTTGTCAGTTGGTACTGAAATTATTAATTAATAAAACTTATATTTAAAAAGAAATTAATATTATTTAATATTGTTTTTATTACTTTTAACAAGCCATGGTAATCCTTTATTCGGTCTTAGAGGAATATCACCACTGCGCTTTTTGCTATTACTCTCTGAGAACTTTAATCTGTGAAAATAGCAGATAGAAAAATAATTTTAAAAAATTGTAGTAGCATAGATATATATATATATATATATATATATGTTAAGAGCGTTCTGCTCTACGGCTGCAAAACCTGGCTTACCACCAACAACCTGATTCATAAACTGCAAACTTTTATAAACAAATGCCTTAGAAGAATTCTAAAAATTTGGTGGCCCCGCACTATTAGAAATTCCGAACTATGGTCAAGATGCCGCCAACTTATAGCAAACGAAATCAAAAAGCGTAAATGGCAATGGAGCGGGCACACTTTGAGGAAGACACCAAATGAAATCTGCAAACACGCATTAACATGGAATCCTTAAGGAAGCAGAAGACCTGGTAGGCTCAAGCGTGGTAGGCTCAAACGTGGAAGCGAACACTGGAGAAAGAAATCCAAGCAAGCGGAAAAACCTTTGGAGAAATTAAACCACTAGCAAAAAATCGTGACAGTTGGAAAAAGTTCGTTATGGCCCAATGTTCCCATGGGAACGTACTGGATTGATTGATTGATTGATTGATTGATATATATATATAATGGGAAAATTGTAAAGCAGCACTCAGATTGAATTATGTGAAATTCAGAGATATACTTATATCCACTTAAAACTATATTCAGATTATTAAAAATTATTAAAATTCGACCTTCGAATATCACTACCTTTCTAGATAGTGGCGCAGCAAAAAATAAATTGAATACAGAATGGTAAAAGAAATTTAAAACACGGTACTGGCTTATTACGCCGATACTTTAACAGTGGCCTATACCGGAAAGTGGATTATGCAGGAGTTGCCATGATGAATGAGAAGGAATAACGAAGGTAGACTTTTATTCCCTTTACACCACCTATTTAAGATTTTTCACAGACGTGTGCAGATTTTATAAATTCTCCTAAGCAGCTGTACTCAGACATTTGAGTTATTGATGCGAATGATGGGACAACAGAAGTAACTTCTACAGTAAGTCAGAAATTTGTGGAATAATTCTGATACAATAAAAATGAGAACAAAAAACAAACACAATTTTTAAGTAAAAACCTAAAAGGGCTTGATGTGTTCTTTGTTAGAACTTTTTTTCGATAATACTCAAATTTATTTTAAGTCTCGTTCCAAGAAATCATATCTAAAACTTACGGGACGTTTCCAGAACATACTATTCATATATATGTATATATTATCTTGCATTTTTAAATTTATCTATTTCATATTTTAATGCAATATTATATCGTATTATCGTATATTATATCGTATAATATTACATATATTATTTTATAGTATAGTGCATCATATAATCTACAACATTCTACAAAAAGATTTACTTAATTACCTTATATTAATGTTCGAGTTCCTGCGTACATTTCGGAAGAAAGAAGATCGGCCATTCTCATCTATAATATATTCTTTTGGTTGTATATTCTCATAATTAACACCTTCTTTACGGAATTCTAGACGCAATTTGTTTGGTATCATTGATATCATTTCTATTTGACCTTTAATAAGTAAAAATACTTGTGTTGCAGATAATTTTCGTTGCTTCACAAAAATGCATTTGTCACCAATGCGTATTGGATATTTAATAGAGTTTCCATCAAGTTTCAATGTTATTGGTATCGATTGAGAAGCTTGTATCATTTGAGTATCATCATCGCAAATAAAGAATGTCAACTCCTGATTAAGATATTCACTGCGAAACGAATAAAGATGACATTCTTTAGGTTGTAATTTGATGCGTTCTGTAGTATCAGTTTGGCCAAAAGAAAGACACGAATGTGTACGATTCACTACAATACATTTCGGCAAAAACGTATTACGTATACGTTTTGGATTTTGATCCAATAAATCTTGCCAATGTTGCTTCGAGCTAAGTATTGTATGTATAAAAGAAGGACCAATATTGAAGCGCAGCTTATCGAAAACAAAATTAGCACATATATTACTTTGCTCTGAATTTTTAAAGCGTATATAGCTTTGTATAGTAGTCTCTTCTAGAAAGTAGAGCATATTCAAGAATCCATAATCCAAATACTCTATACTACAAATTAATGAGCTGTCAAGTGCATAGTTATTAAGTGAATGGAAAATAGTATGAAAGCTCATATTTTTTAGATTAAGTACCAAAAATGTTTGACTAATTTCTATTGAATTATTTAGTTGATATTTTTTCAAAAATATTGGTAGCTCTCCAGTTTCCTGTGGTTGATTTTTTAATTGTATGCAAAAAAGATTGCAACTGACCAGCAATTGTACTTTAGGAACACATGCAGATTGAAATGACGTATCGATACGCATACAACCCACTAAGACTTTGGGATGCAAAAGAAACTCAGAATCTGTGCGTTCAGTTTTAAACATATCATCGATCTTAAAGCTGGGTATCTAGAAGAGACGACATTGAAAATTCATATTTTTATTAACCAATATAATTGAGTACTACAGATTTTATACTTACCGATTTTAAATCTTCATCTTCTTCACTATTTTCAAAGCAAGCTCCATTTACTGCGACTACGGACTGCAATATTACAACACGCCAAATGTTGGCACATATTTCACGTTCCGGTAATGCTATCTCTTTCGATACTGTCTCTGACAACCAAAAATCACAAAAATGTAAAAATGCACTGTGCACCTCACTATAGTATTCCATGCGACATTTTATGTGTACGGAACTTGTTATCTAGAAAAAAATTGAAAAAATTATGTAAAAGAACGCAAGTACTAAGGCTGTGAAAGATCTATATTGCTTAGTTGGTGAAGAAAGATACGGATCTACGTGCCAATTGTCACTTTTGACGACGAAGTGCCGGACTGTAGCAATAAATTACACCATTAAGTACACTCTCTCTTTCGATTACAATTATTGTATTCTTCTCATATAAATTTAAAAGAATTTTTACAGAATCTTTAATATTAATTTTAAAATAATTTTCAATATTTTAATTTGAAGACTAGACTCAAAAAGTTGTTTGAACTTACCGCCATTGGCACTGGATATACATGAATTTTAAACATTTTCCGTGGTTGTGGGTATCGCCAACAAATGATGCCATAATTTTTTTTTATAATTTGTATTTGATATGGCAAAGGCAAGAAAGAATCTGTAGCCGTTTCAACAAACTGAAAAGCGCCAGCTCTGTAAAATAAAGTGATTAATAAAATTTAATTGTTTACTTTTTACCAGGGCTATCAACCGATATTCTATCGAAACGGTTTTAAATCAATTCATTACGATTTTTCATTTAAAAACACGCTCCAAAGTATCTTGAAAACATTGAACCGTATTCATTTTTTAAATCTCAAGAGAGTAAGACGGCTTTCAGAAGTACTAAAAGTAACTGTTTTCCTTCATTTGAAATTCGAATACATCTACGTGCTAAGTAGTTACTTGTTATGTATAATAATATTTATCTGCAATGTTTGCCACAATTACAGCTTTAAGCCTCATAATTTTAGGTCCCATATATATTCATTTCCAAATGCACACACTTATTTGAACCGTATTGATTTCCGGCTTCATTCGTTTAAATTCGATAAATTTAATAGGTTCTCTCAAATTATCACAGGTTAACTTCAATTAGCACGCACCTACACTGTCATATTTTCCCTATCCAACACAAAATCCACCTACCTCAAAATCCACCTACCTCACCCCACACCACATCCTTACATAAATATTTGTCTTATAAGGTCTTCCTGTTTCGTATATCATATGTTCACTCAGGTTACAACAGCAACCCATGTGTTTCACTTGCTAACCCATGTATTTGTAATATAATCCTTTTACGTTTTTTGCTATAAAACCCTATCTTATTATAAACATATTACAAACCTCAAATCGTCTTGATAAAATTCACCATGACTAATATCGCTTTTACAATTATCATATTTCCTCAAATGTGCATTATTCTTTAATGTGGGTGCCTTCAGCAATATTAAACGATCAGGTTGCATATCACCAACACCAAACGAGGGACGTTGTAGAAAAAATTCCTGCCAAGCATTTCGATTAAACTCCATAAGTCTTTTATAACCAAGATTTGCTTCTTGCAATTGTAGCAGCTCCTTTATGCCTATATCTGCGTTTAAGACATTGAATTTAACTGTAGCCATTATCAATGGCAGATTATGCCAAGGTTCGCTCAGAAATTCTGCGGATACTCGTACTGTGGTGGGATGTAAGCATATGTAATGATTAACTTCCAAATGGAAAGCAGCAATTCCCAAGTTAATAGTGACTTTTTCGGGACGATTTAAAAATTTCGTATTTGCTTTCAATTCATTTAAGACGAAAGTACAATTATAATCCTTCTCATTAAAAAATTTGATAACAATATTCTCACATTTGAAATGCAAACGATCGACATTGTAAAATTGTTGTCGTATTAAAGCAATTTTAGTGGCACGCATAACTGGTACCGCGGAACGTATAGGAAAGCAAGGATTTTGCAATAATGTTATATAGACTTTTAAGATATTTTGTATTAGTTGCTTGATGAGCGGTTCATTTAAATTAATGATAAGAGTTTTTGATAAGAGCACATCAACTTCGATTAAATTCATTTTAGTGCGATTCTTTTTAATACAAATCAATGGTGGTGGTATACCAGTGGCATCCACATCACCAGGACGTGTTTCAAGTATACAGTCTGTAAATAAATCATTACTTGTTGGAATGAGTGCAGAATCCTTCAACTGCGACAATTTGATATTTAAATCAAAAACTGATAACGTTGTTACAGCATCATAAATATTTTGACAGTACATGAAACTTGGCTGTGATATTGTTATAGAAAACAATGGTATGGGCAACATATCATCCAAATTTTGCTTAACATCAAATATTTTTATAACAAAAACGCCTGCTACTAGTGATACTGTACACGGTACATGTCGAAGCAGTGTTTGTGTGTTGCTATCAATACGTTCTTGTAGCCCAGTGCTATAGATACGTGAATTATTCGATTGAAAACCAGAATCAGTTTTTACAAAATTTTCTGTTACTTCATCGGCTGAATCAAGCACAGATACTGAACCACGTGCTTCTTTATGCAATTGAGCAGATCTTTGTTCACTAACATTCGTACGTAAAATAGTTGAAGAAGTTGAGTTCATACGCGAATACTTGCTATCCATACTTGCTGGTATATATTTCAATGACGCCGACGTCTTACGCTGTGTTGTAACAGAATTGGGAGTTAAACTAAACCAAAAAAAATATATAAATAAATAAAATTAAATTAAAGAAATTATCACAGTTTTACCTTAAGATATGCTTGAAACGTTCTATTAAACAGCTTAAGAGAAAAATTTGATATGTATTGAGTGAAGCAATAAAATCAGAAGCACAATTAAATTCTACCGCCTGTCCACATACGAGTATATCATTATAGGTCATACCAGGTGCAAATGTTGCAATAAAAGTGAAATTATTAAATATTTCCGAAAGCTGTAAAGTGGTCTTTCGATTTTGATTGTTCCATTCAAAAGCTGGATTCGTGCGATAAGCATTATTTGTTTGTTCACGCATGTGTGTTAATATTTCATTCCAATTGCCTGTCACAATCGATATATTGCCTAAAGTCATTTCATACTGGCGATCCTCTAATACTGAACCCGGTGTACCAAGTATACCCATTTGAGCTGCTTTACTAAATACATCCATACGTATTGGATTGCGTTGCAGTGGATTCTCCAAGTTGGGTGTAACTTGTATTTGATCTATCTATAAGGGGAAATAAAAAAAAAATATTATACTGGAAATATATGTTAATAAGTTAATTACATACTCGCCATATCAGCACTGAACAACTTTCTTTGCCCGTATCAAAAGGTAAATATAAAGTAAATCCTTTGCTATTTAAATGTATCATTGGTAAGTCAGCTGCAGTTATTGGCTTTATGATTTCACTTTTTATATAATCAGGATTTTCTTTTTCAAAAGTTTTGTCTGTTATATTTTTAGTATTTGTTCTCTCTCCCACACACACTTTTGCCAAAGGTGTAAGAAATTCTTTTATTACATCTAAATCCATTATTATTTCCAGTGATTCCATTGTAATTAATACTTCAGCTATGTTTCGATTAAGTTCGCCTTTTCGTTTAAAGCCAATTTTTTTATAAAAGTTTTTCAAAGCAGCAGTTGTGATAATCACATTGCAGAATGGTAAATTGGAGCTTTCTCCAAGCATTTTGATGCGTAATAACTCATTAATTATCCACTCATTTTGTTCATTCAGCTTGTAGTAATTAACACAGAAGTGTCCTATTTTGCTCGTATATTTTGAATAGTCCTCACGTTTATCTACCGTTGAGAGTATATCTTCCAGTTCAAGTACAATTTTAGCTTTGCGTGACTCATCATTATTTTCCAATTCAGCAATTATTTTTGTTATTGTCCATTGATAGAATAATGATACCTCGTTTATATCAGCGTATTCTTTATAAAAATAAAATATTTATTAACATATATATATTGTGTGACTATATAAACTATATTTAAAATAATGTTATTCGTTTAATACTATTAATAGTATTGTAATATGGAAATATGGAAAATCAAATTATATCGTCTATGAAATGTAGCGGACAAAGTTGCTCAGAACGGACGACTTAACTTTTAATTCAATATAAAATCAAGGCGCATTAAAAATTGAAATCGTACGAAACAATGTTTTGAATATGTACTTCGAGATATTAGAGCATAATGTTTTCTGATCTTGTATATAGCTGAATTTGAATATTTGACTCATATACTTTAAATGTTCAAAAATCAAGCTGTGCGATGATGCTCAAGCTGTTTGATGGTGCTCGAGCTACTTAATATTATTTTAGTAGCTACATAATATAACTTCAAGCGATTTACTGTACTTAAGCTAAATTTTCTGAACAATTAATTCCTTAACTAATTAAAATAACAATTCTATAAGCTCAAATAATATTTAAAACTTTAGGGAGCCAAAGATCCCTAAATTAATATTGTAATTAATATTTTAATAAAGTGAACTTTATTATTTACATATTAATACAATAATGTATTATATATACAATACATTATATTGTATATATAATCTAAACGATATTTTAGTTATGGAAAATCTTCTATACGCGTTAACGATTTTTATATAGTAACTATATAACATAAATGTACAGTTTTAATGGAAATAAGTTTTGTAATCGAAAACAAATTCATATGAAAATCGTTTCCAAAAAAACTACTAATATTTATGTTTTATTTTATACTTACTCTCTTCTGAATAAAGTGATATTTCCGAATTAGTTTCCAGATCTAAAAATTCTTTAATTTTTGAGTTTTCCTCCGTAGCTGTCAAAATTTGAAACGGGTTTGATACTTTGGCAGAACTACTTCTAACTGGTGAAACCATTACTTTAATTCGATCTAAGACATTTGTTAATACGCTGACATGTTGTTGTAGTATTTTAAACTAAAATATATAAAAGATATATTAATTCCAACCAATTTGATATTAAAATTATAAACTTACCTTTTGTGTAGATATACAAAATTTTATTGGTGTGGTGTCAACATGTAAATTAATTGTATAGATATTTTTCTTATATATTTGGTTTTCACATTTACTATGCGAAATGAAAGGCATAGCTTCGGCATCATTGCTGTTATATATATCCACAATATCTACATCCGTGCTATCAGCTTTTTTCTTAGAACTACTATGACTCTTCTCTTCATTAGAGCTATAGTCAGTGTCTGGTATGGAAGAATTATGTTCAGTTTTACATTTTTTCCCCGACTCTCTCACATTTTCTTTGTTTGTTTTTTTAGTTTTATTTTCATTATGTCCAAAGGATTTCTTTTTAAATTTTTCCTCCTTATGTGTTGCAACAATTGTGAAAGCAATATTTGTGGGTTCTAATAATATATTAGTTGAAGTCGCATCTACATTACTAAGTGATAAACTATTCATTGCTATTGTCCAATTGAGCGTATCTTTTTTATCATCTGCAAAAAGTAATTTATTATAAAGCACACCACGGTTAATGTTCTCCACTAGTGATGACTTCAGCACTGTTTTAGGTAATAGCAATAACGTGTGATTGGAAAGCACATCTTCGGAATTATTTAAGAAATGTTCACATATATGCAATTTACTCTGTGCTAATTCTATATAAAAAACTAAAGCCTTTGAAATTTTAAACCATTCATGCTGTGTCTCGTCCTTGCTGTTAGGCGGTGTTGACACACTTGTTTCTATATCAACTTTCTCATCACGTTCAGAACTTACATGTATTGTCTCTTCAGGTTGTGTTATCTTTTTTGACAATGAATGTCTCGAAGATCGACGTGTTATTGTTTTTGTAGTTGCATTAAGTGGGTTCAGCATAGCACGTGTATTGTTTGGTTTAATTGTTACTGTAGGATTAATTGTTGTTTGCAGTACTTGAACTTGTGCTTCTGCATCGACAGTTGGTTCTTATAAAGTAAATATATTATTAATTATATATTATGTTTAAATATATTGCATATATAAATGTAAACTTACCTTTTTCACCAATAATTTCAAATTCTTCATAGCATTTAAGGAACTCAAGCATTTTATTGTCTATGTAAATGTTGTATGGTTCCATCCAAGCAGCGACAACGGTTTTCAACACCTGTTCACCTTCATTTGTTTCTTCTTCATTAGGTATTTGAACATAGACTTCTAACCAATTACGATATGTTTTTCGCAAGCCACCAGCAGTGGTGAAAACTTTATGTTTCATTTTCTCATCAACACAATTGGCACAGACTACGTCAACATTAAATTCTTCAAGACTCGCATTCAACATATTATAGGTGTGATATTGACGTTGATATATATAAAATTTAGTAAATTTACACTGTAAGTTAATAAGTTTTTCAGTAGCTGGCAATTGCTGCTCTCCGTATTTAGCTAATTTCCAAACCATATACGGATGATATTTCAGTATACATCTCACAAGGTGATCCGTAATAATTAGATCACGTTTGGAGAATTCTAAACTAAAATTCTCACAATTTAAATCAAATTTTCGTTTAGGAACTTCATCTACTTTCCAATGTTGTGGTTGCACCAAGCTACCATAAGTCATTTGCAATTTTGGTAAATGAAGTAATCGCACAGAACTGTGTGAAGTTTTATTTACCAAATCCAAACTAAAATTTTTCAAATCAATCTTATAATTATCATAGCAAGCATCGACTAATACACTGGGCTTATCTGGTAATTGGCAGGTGGTATGTACAAGTTTATTTGGCTTAATTGGAGTTGAGAGCGTACCGTATAAATGTTCGATTCGGCAACTAAAAATTGGTAAATTTTGTTGCATATTTATTGGAAGACGTCGCTGTGTCTTTTGAGTTTTTTGCGGTTCAACTTTGGCATAAAATTCAAATTTAATATTTTTAATATCAAATTTATATATGGAAAGTGGTATGTGTTCCATAAGCGCATCGTAATCTTCCATTTGCGGTGGATGTAATTTTTGAGCAACATTTGAATTGTTAGCATCTAAGGGTTCTGCATAATACGGTGGATAGTCATAAGACTTAATTAAATCATTAATAAGATTGTTAACCTGTTGAAATGTTTGTTGAAATCGGCATGTTATACCAGCGGAGAGTACGCGAAACTCATTAAGGGACTCTATGATTTTACGTCCTATTTGGTTTTCATCATCTTTCTTAGCTGGTTTATACTTAACCACATCAAAAGCCAGCACAGGACTTCGATACATAAGATAATCATCAGTTATACGATTTCGATAGTCATCATATGATGTTGAAATCCATCCTTTATCGGCAATAAGGCAATTTTCATCGAAAAGACTCTTATCGATAAAGGATTTCACAAACTCGACCTGTAAAAGTTATTTCAATCAAATCAGATATTAAAAAAAAAAAAATCAAATAGAACTGAATAACAGGCATACTTATATAAAAATGAATATAGGTAAGAATTTGATTAAAAAATCTTCTATATTTTTATAACTTTTACGCAATTAATTACAATAAAAAATTATTAAGTTTCTTAATAATAGTAATAAGTATATATTACCAGTTCAAAAATTCTGTGACGTCAGTTTGAATAGAACTAATAAGAAGACGTACAATTTTGAACTGCAAACTGCTGGTGTCGAAAGTAATATAAACCCATGTTTTTATAGAACTGTAGTTTAGAATATCTAACCACTTCAGTAATGTATGCAACTCAAACTCTAATAAAAATATATTTCATCAACATTTAATCTAGTAATGTCTAACGCTTTCTGAATTAGACGGAAAAATGTTGACACACAAACCTTTTAGGAGCCCTTAAACATATATCGAAATGACTGAAACAGGCCCATTATATTATAATAACTTTCAAAACTGAATTACGAGAAATAAAAGTGTAACTTTCCGCTTCTAAAACAATTCAGTCTTAAACAATAAAACATGAAAACACTTAAAAAAAGAAAAAATAAAATCTTAAAGATACGAAAATATTACAAGGAGCTTACTAGGAGAATAAATATGGCTAAACACTTTTTACATTATTATATTAAAATTTTTAATACAGTAGGGTCAGATCTAAACTAGATAGACAGATCTCCGGCTGTCAATATAATTTACAGATAATACAGTGTAATACATTATCAAAGAAAATACTTTCTAGTATATTCTCCCCCTTGGTACAATTCAGAAGTGGTGTCTAGCACCTTGCTACATGGTACTATGAGTTAATAATTATAACTTGTAAATATTACAATAATTCTTAAAAATTATTAACTAAACCCACATTCCGTTTAAATTTACAGTTTAAATATAGATATAGCCACCATATGAATCATATCATGTCATATCAGCTTTTTAAAAAAACCTTTTTACACTTGTTAAAATATTTGTGCACAGGTTATTTGTCAAGTAAATAAACTTATTTTCACTTCCAATAATACATGAAATAATAACAATGAAAATAATGGCTAAAATTTACAACAAAATTTATTTTTTGTCTTAAAATTGTATCAACTTTCACCCCAAATCATTATGATGATTGATTTATGATTGATAAATTAACTCTTAATCACTTTGTATGAAGGATGCCTAAACTTCGGTGAAGCCCAATTAATTCTTCCCATTAAATATTCATTCAGTCATAATTATCATCGCTTTTAGCTTTTAGCACTACCAACACTGTAAGTGATGTTACTATTATTAGTGGCACTAGTTATTGTATACTGCCAGAATAATCCCGCCTAATATCTCCCGGGAAGAGCGACCCCTTCCTTACACAGCAACAACTGTTTTAGGGGAATTAAGATCAGAATATAGCCATATGTATATTAAAGAGATGCCTATCTCACTTAATGCGCCAATTCCCAATTTGTTTTTTCATCTTGATCCAGATTAGCTCTAATTAAAAACTCACCCATCTATAATCTACTCTTGTACCCTAAAAATTCTCTCCTCCTTTACACTTCCTTTAACCAAACCATATCCTAGCCCATGCATACCGCTCATGTTATCTACCATATGTATCTCTACTTGCTATTACAACAACAACATTGTAATGATCTATCTCACTGATCTATCTCACTGATCTATCTCACTGATCTATCTCACTGTTTTTTACAATTCACTTTTTTCTTACAGCAACAAAATGTTTAAATGAGCTTCATAGTTTTAGTGCGATTAGAAGTAAAAAGAGTAATCGAAAATTATTTTCTAGCTTGGACCTCCTTCATTTGGATAATTTTTATTCTATTCTTTTCTATAACGCCGCTAGTGTCTAATTTTTCCCTAAACTTTTAAAATAAAATTTAAGAAAAATTACCGTTTCAGTTTCCACCCAAGCCTCATCACTTGGATCATTTGTTTCTGCAAGTGGTACAATGTAAATGCTTGAAAGTCCCGCTTTTATACTGGACCAATCACGCTCCTTTGCCATAACAGCTTCAGCATAAATACCACCCAATGAAATGCTTACAACAGGTAAATAACGTATGCGTTTCTGTGTTCCCATTACGGAATCACTTATTAGTTCTGCATTTTTTAATGTGAAACTAATTTGTTCAGCATAAAATCCAAAATCGTTAACATGACATGGTAGCGCACTATCACAATCATCACCGTCATCACACGTATCAAAAGTAATGGTTGGTATCAAATTCCACGCCCATGTAACATATGAAAGAACGCCATATCCACTTTGTACTTCTGTAGTTTCTGCCTCATCAGGCTGTTCATAGTGTGAAATCTGTGCTCCAACTTTATCATTTTGCATTGCCGATACAATTTCTATTAAGCGCATCACCAACGGAAATTGAAGTGATGATATATTTATATCTATAAGTTTAGTAAAAATGCCAATACGTGTGGTGCTTCTCGTATTTATCGTTCTAATATCGTGTTTACGCAGTATACGACATTCAAGCGTACATCTGAAAAATTATTACACTTAATTTATTTCAATTTTTAAATAAATATATATAGATTATTACCTATACAGAATGGGTTCCATACACACTTCAATTTGTCCAGAAGAGTTACGTTTGTCTAAGCATATAGTAAGATCAGAAATTGTTATTAGCTTTCTCAGCAGCACTTTAATCGGATTTACATCTAACATTGCAGGTTTCCAATTCTCATCCGCAGAGCATACACATAAATATGCAACATTCATTGACAATACAATATCTTCTTCCACGTATTTAAGTATAATATTTTCAATTTCGATTTTAATATTATGCACAATTTTATTGATGAGGCCTGCTCCTGGTGGTTGTTGTGGTGTCTCATCGGTTTTCGGAGTCGGTTTTGGTGGGGGCGGCTTCCGTTTTCGTTTCGGTGACGAACTTGTTGATGAGCTTTCACCACTTTTCAGTTTTACAACGAATTCTATTGTGTTAATATGTATGCGTACCGGTTCTGATACTATAGCTGTCCACGGCACGAATATGTATAATTCATATATGTGACCCGAGAGAAATTCAATGGGTAAATTTAGTTCTTCTTCCAACACATCCAATCTCAAATCTAAATTAGCAAACATAGCTTCACCTTCCCAAAGTGATATCGATGCATCTTCTGGGCGAAAATCTTTAACATATTTGTCAACATGACTAAGAATTATCGGTGTTATGTATGATTCCAGTGAGAACATTTTTGTTTAATTTATTTTCTTTATATTTTATTTGTATTTTACATATATATATATTTACACGTGGTAACTTAAAATTTTGTTCATAATTTCGCAGAATTTTAACCAAACAGAAACGTAAGTAATGTAATTTTTAAATTGAAAAACCTATAACCCGAAATAACTTGAAAATATTTGTTTATTTTTAATCATTTCTACTCTTGTTGACGTGTTGTACGAAATTTTAAAACAGCTGATCGAAATGTCACATTGCTGCAATTTGATTGGCTGAATTTTGCCGATATTTGTAAACAAACTGTCAGTATTACCATTTAAATAAAAAAACGTACTTTTTCGCACTTTGAAAACTGTTTTTAAATTGGAGCGCATTGAAGTATGTGAATTGATTTTTATATGTGAGTTGGTCCAACTAACTCATGTCGCTTGAGCAGTTTCGCATATTTTAGAAGTTTTTAATATATTTTTACATAAACATAACGAATGGTGATATAAAAATTAAGAAATACTGCATTGCACATGCCCATCATGCACCAAAAAAATTTCTAACCAAAATAATAAAATAATTACATAATTTTAATTCTATTCAAAATCAATGGTTTGTTATGGACATAAACATTTTAATTATAATAGTATAATATGACGTTTACACTGGCCAAAAATAGCTCATTTTGAATGAGCCATTTAAAAGTGTTTACATTCGTTGGTATTCATTTGTTCTCATTTCAAACAGCTGATTTTTCAACTTGCTTGTTGATTTGGTTTTTGGCCTGTGTCAAAAAAATATTGATTGAAGGTTAAATATACCTTTTCAAACCTTAAAATATACACTGAAAACATATATTTAATTTCGATTAATTACGTTTTGGGAAATTCTAAAAAGGAGTTCGTTTTCAAGGAAATGCAACCACCAAACATTTGTTTACCTTTTTTTGTAAATATGTCAAAAACAGCATACTATTAATTTGTCTAACACTTTTGTAGATTTGGAAGATGAACTGTTGTCTTACGTTAAAATATTATATTTATTTTTGTCTTACGTAAAAATATTATATTTATTTTTTATTTGTTTTTAGTTATGTTTTATTAAATAATAATAATAATAGTAATAATAAGTAAATGTCCTGAACAATTACTATTTATTAACTAAATTCTTCACATATTCTGTACTATCTTTTGGCACAGTATGTACATAAGCTTCTTAAGAAACTGCCATATCTAAAGGACTGTAGTTAGTTTGCATGCGTTCATTACCCATTCAATTTATGTCTGTTTCTTTTATATTTAAATTTACTTTTACTAAACAAGCAAATCGAAGCTATAAAATCTAATAAAAATAAACAAGTTTTTAAATATATAGAAATTCAATTAATATAAATTTTAAAAAATGGCGGGGAACTTTTGGCAAAGTTCGCACTCTCAGCAATGGATTTTAGATAGGCAAGATTTGATACGTGAGCGACAATATGACTTGCAGGTGCTGACGGAAGATGAATACCAAAAAGTCTTTATATTTTTTGCTAATGTAATACAAGTATTAGGTGAACAATTAAAATTGCGCCAACAAGTTATAGCCACAGCAACAGTGTATTTTAAACGATTCTATGCGAGGAATTCATTAAAAAATATCGATCCTCTACTATTAGCGCCAACATGCATTTTACTCGCCTCGAAAGTTGAGGAATTCGGTGTAATATCAAATTCACGTTTGATATCAATTTGTCAATCAGTTATTAAGACAAAATTTAGTTATGCTTATGAACAAGAATTTCCATATCGTACCAATCACATTTTGGAATGTGAATTCTATTTATTGGAGAACTTAGACTGCTGCTTGATTGTGTATCAACCATATCGACCATTGCTGCAACTGGTGCAGGACATGGGACAGGAAGAGCATTTATTAACTTTAAGTTGGCGCATTGTTAACGACTCACTGCGTACGGATGTCTGTCTGCTATATCCTCCATATCAAGTCAGTCAAATGAAATATATATTAATAAATAAACAAAATAAATAAATATTTTTTTTAATGATTTAGATTGCTATTGCATGCCTGCAAATTGCCTGCGTTATACTGCAGAAGGAGTACACGAAGCAATGGTTTGCTGAACTTAACGTTGACTTGGATAAAGTGCAAGAGATCGTGCGTGCAATAATTAATTTATTTGAGTTGTGGAAGGAGTGGAATGAAAAGGAAGATATCAAGAAGCTATTGGCTAAAATACCAAAACCAAAGCCTGCACCACAACGTTAACTTGAATATAAACCATAACTACTGGAATATGAACAATATATTTTATGTGCATTTTATTTATTATATTAAAGATATTTTCTAATTTCCGTGAAATATATACTTCTTAAGAATATTTTAAATTATTTTTAAAAATTATTTATAAAATCATTGTTTACATAAATTTGTATTTAAATTTGCATATAATTTTTAGTGAAACAATTTAAAACAATTATCAGTAAAATTTATAAATATCTGGTTTGCTCTAATTATCTATTTTATTAAAAGTTATAAGAAAAAATATACATTTATTTATGAGTATATTAAATTGCCACAGCCAAGGAGCACTTAACATGCATCTCTCGTTTTATACAAATAACAGTCTCCACCTCCAAAACGAAGCAGAAATACTAATTAAAAAATATATCTAAAGATATTTCGTTTGACCGCTGGAAAATTTTGTATTCAGTATTTTGGCTTTGTCTACAATTTGTTTCGTTTGATGTTTGTCAATCTTATTCGGTTTCAAGTCTACATCCCGACTGAATGGACGTCGATCGGGTTTAGCTCCCGAAGCTGCCATTTCTTTTTCCTGAAAATATATGAACGATTAAAAAAATAAAACAAAAGGGAAAAAAAATTATTCTAACTCTACAACTTTGGTATATATATTCAGATTATTCGCTTGCCGTAGCACAAACACTAATCTGAGTCCTATCGATTTATGGCTCTACCTAATGAGGTGGCAAACTTTAATTGCATCAACGACAAGTTCATTTATGGCCACACCCATTATTCTACTCCTTATTCTATCTAACTTTTCTATATATATAGTCTCCTTTTATTCATTTTCTGCAAGTCTTCAATTTCCAAATCCTCTCTGCCATTTGGATGTGGAATTGGCATTTAGTGTATTGAGAAGAAAATAAAAATTAACAGGATACCACGTTACCAACGGAACGTGCGCTATGGTCATGGTAGATCTCTAATGATAGAAACTGACTCTAACTGAACAACCGTTTAGAATTTTTTTAAAGATAGTGATCATAGTAAGTGGCCTAGTATTTTCTTCCTATTCTCAATCAAAGGCTGACAGTCACAAAGAATGTAGCTAGACTTTTTATTTACTTCCAAATAGAGACCAGATGATATAGAATCATCAGGTAGACTCATTTTGTTGAGTATACTGAGTCTCTAGAGATATTCTCATTAAGTTCGATTCCTGGTACTTGCAGTCACAAAAAATTATTTACGAATCATTAAATACAAGAACTATTCCAAGACCACTGATGATGGGTATTTGACAATACTCGAAACAGCTGTATGGTCAGCCAAAAATTCAATTAATTAAAATAATATAAAATTAATTTTTATTGTTGTAGTTCACCTCTGTTCGAAAAACCCTCTATTCTGATTAAGGTCATATAAATGCTTACTTGGCAAGCCCATTCGCTTACAGTCCCCAAATATATTTCTTTATTGAGAACCCCAAAAAAAATATTTAATAAACTGTGCCAAAATTTCATTTGGAGATTGGTACGATCTTCATAATAAATTTCTTACCTTTTGCTTTTGTTCCTTGCGTAGTTTCTTCTGATGAATCTCAACGAGTGATTCTTCGCGTTTGTGTTTCTTTTTAAATTTTTTTGCTAAAAGTTCTTGTTCTTCATCACGTTGACGTTCATAGAGTGTTTGTGCATTATTTATCAATTTTTCAGTAGCAGCTTTTGAAGTACCAGGTTTTGTTGTAGAATCAGTACCACTATTTGGAGTCTTTGTCCATTCCGATCTACAGAAAATAAATTACAATTAATCAATATAATTGTTGTGCTCGTTTCATAGAATATCAGATTATATTCTCAACATACCTATCACTAAAATCTGGCTTTTCCTTTCCTTGATGAAATGTACGCTTCATATTTGAAATAGCAGCCAATCCACTTTTAAGTCCTACATCTGGTAATTCTAACATCCATTCCTCACGTAATTTTTGATCGACATTTGTTAACGTATTACCTTCGATGGCCGCTAATTTAAGCTCCAAAGCGCGTTGTTCCAATTTGATTTGTTGTGCACTCATATGCTGTTCTCCACTTTCAGCCAAATTAATTGGCATAGGACCATAACTAAAATAATCATCATCATCATTATCATCATCGTCTTCATCTTTCAACTTTTCTTGTGTTTCCATGGGAATTCCTTGTTGTGGTAAAATGGGCCCGACTATATTTCTCTCCTCGGTAACTGCATTTTGTGCTGGGAGATGTTGTTGTTGCTTTTGTAGTAAATGTGGTGGCAATGCTGGACCAAAAACGTCATCTAAAACTGCAACATTTTCTGATGAATTTCTTGTGATTGGAGGTATCATAATGGGAACAGATCTTATTTCATCAAGTTCTAATTCTTTGCTACGTTTCTTCTTCTTTGACCGCTTTTCTTTTTTCTGCTTTTTATGCTTCTTTTCCGATTTTTTCTTTAGTTTCTTATGAATTTTGTGTCTCCTCGTCTCTTCTGATGTTGAGGACGATGCACTAGTATCTGTGTCACTCGACATAGTTGTTGAATTCTATGTTCAAGATCCGTGCAGAATAATCTACTTCTCTGAAGGATATTCAACTTCTGTGATGGATATTCAACCTCTGTGAATAATGCACAATATTTACTTGTTCTTGTAAGCGAGTCCTTAATATCAGTATTCCAGATATCCTTAAGTGCAGTGTACTGACAGCGCGGGAAACTGTCATTAACTATTAAGTGTGTTCAGTGTAAGCTTTAAGTTTGTACAAAGAACATGAAGTAACGTAATTTATGTACGTGTTTACTGACATGTACCATCAGGAGTTATTTCCTGTATATCCGCATTTTGTTAAATATAAATAAAATAATGCAATATTAAAGTAAAAAAGCAAACAAAAACAAAGGAGTCTGTTTGTTCAGTTAGTTGCTGATGATACTTCTTATACTAATAGACGGTTTTAGTATCTGTAATGCACTCGCTATATTAATAGTAGTGATATTTATGTAAACCGATCAAATGGAAAAACAAAAAATCGCTCCAGAATTATTTTTTAAATACACATTACCATATAAAATATGTTTTATATTATACGTTGGTTATGCACTGAACATTCTCTGAAAATGCAACTCTGATTTTTGCTGTTTTTATTTAATATGACTTCAACATGTCAAATGTATCACATTTCTGCCGAAATTGTGCGGGCATCTGTTATTTATATAATGTAAATGTTGTGATATTAACAATTATTTGATAAAAAATAAGCAAAACAAGGATGAAATAAATATATATTCTGTTGCCGTACGGAATGAAATCCATACTACAATTGTAGAATCAGAAGTAAAGAATATCATTATTACAACAGAAAGTTATGTATTCAAGAGTGGAGGATATTCAATTTCTCTGAAGGATAATCAACCTCTGTGACGGATATTTAACGTCTGTGATGGATACTCAACTTTTGTGAAGAATATTCAACTTCTCTGAAAAATATTCAACTTTTCTGAAGAATATTCAACTTTTGTGATGGATACTCAACCTTTGTGAAGGATATTTAACTTCTGTGATGGGTATCAACTTCCGTGAAGGATATTCAACTTCTGTGATAGACACTCAAACTCCGTGAAGGATTTTTAACTTCTGGGATGGATATCTACTTCTGTGAAGGATATTTAAAATCCCTGAAGGATTTTCAACTTCTCTGAAGGACACTCAATCTCTGCGAAAAATATTCAACTTTTCTAAAGGATATTTAACTTCTGTGATGGATGTCAACTTATGTGAAAGATATTCAACTTCTCTAAAGGATTTTAAAGTTCTCTGAAGAATATTCAACCTCTGTGAAAGATATTAAATTTTCCTGAAGGATATTCAACTTCTCTAAACGATATTCAACTTCTGTGATAGATATGCAACTCCTCTTAAAGATATTCAACTTCTGTGAAGGATATTGAACCTTTATAAAGGATATGCAACATCTGTAAATGATATTTAACTGTAAAAATAAAGAAGAAATGAAATAATTTTAATGTGCTCATTTATGCAATTATTTTTATTAGTATATTATATAAATAATAAAAAATTAATCGTTGTACTGGTATTTACAATTAAATATTAAATGCAATGCATACGTATTGTTAAAAACACGTATTTCGTTATCCTTAAATCATAAAAATTACGCTAACAAATTGAGTAGAATCTATGATTCTGGCAGCTAACAATTCTCACTATGAATTACAAAATAAATAACAACAACTACGAAATGATTCCCTACTTAATAATATATATAACAATCAAATTAAATTTGTCCTAAATTTCAGATACATCAGTAATAACGATTAATTGGCAAATGTCTTAAGAGCTTTCCGGTAGCTGTAGACCACTGATTTAAATAATCCTGCGGATGGTATATTTTTGAAGGACTGCGTTATGCTGCTGCGCCAAACAATATCATTGACCGACATCTGTACAATATCATGTAGGTTGTCAGTTACCGCAAGTTGTTCTATGATATCAGCGTAGCTACCGCGGAAAGCAGCATTTCGTATAATACATTCCTTAAGTCTGCTGGGAACGCGTCGCAGATGATATTCATTAGCCAAACGTGATTTATCTTGCTCAAATTGTACAACACTGCGATTAGTGCCCAATTCTCTTGCTTTGAAATCCACTGCAACATATTTTGCCAATTGTTTTAACGCAGGCTGATAAAGCTCTATGAATTGCTCTTGTTGTGCTTGTACAATGTTATGAACTTTGTTTTTATTCTCTCCGAATATCATACGAAAATCACCTTTGTAACTTAGACTACATATGGCATGTAATAATTGATAAGTGGAAAATCGTTCTGGTAAAACCAGTAACGCTACTTGCAGCGCACTTACAAGATTTTGTGATAAAGCCTCCGTAAGCACCTTGTCATCCGTTGCAGGAACTATATCTTGTACTGGTTTATGTAGACGACCAGCCAAATATAAATATTTCCATTGTTGTAAGTCTTTTAACAAATCATCACGTGAAACAACACCATATTTGATTGTTACGCCCAAGTCTTCGAGCGGCACCAGCGTATTACAATACACACCGGCACCAAAATTTTCTTGATATTTTTTTATATAATCTGCTCCAAGGTGCCGCAGAGCAGAATAATGTTGCGGATGTCGAGCAATGTTCTCCGCATGCCAACCTAAAGTATCTCGCACACAAAAAACCAAATCAATGATATTTTTCTTTTCTTCTTTTTGATCATAACCAAGTTGCTGTTTTACGCCTGAACCATACGCAAATATATAGGATATACCACCGCGGGGAAATCTGGTTATTATTTGTCTATAAATAGTCATTAATAATGCACAATATTTACTTGTTGTTGTAAACGAGTCCTTAAAATCAGTATTCCAGATGTCCTTAAGTGTGATGTACTGGCAGTGCGAGAAACTGACATCAAACGTTTAGTGTGTTCAGTGTAAGCTTTAAGTTTGTGCAAAGCACATGGAGAAAGGGCAACAAAAGTTATACACGAATTTTTTGGTTCATTATAATTTTGCTGAGATATTCTCAGCCTTTGTCTAGAGTCGCTGCAATAAATTTGTATTCACAAGGACCAGACTTCAATTTTAAAGAATTTATTTAAAATATTATTATTTCTTTAAAATAGTATTTTAAAAACAAAAGAAATTAATTATATATAATAGATATAAACGGGGATTATTTCCTGGTTCGGGTGACACGCTAATAGTGGGGGTTGATGCTTTAAAGTTCTTAGTGATCTTTAATCTGATCTTGTAGTTTGGTTCTTGGGATGATTCGCTTGCTCTATGATTACCTGTTTATGAAAAACGGGGAAAGAAATATATATTCTATTTATAGAATATATATATATATAATAGTTTTCAAGGTCGTCGATTTAAAACCGTCTCTGCACTTGCAAATATTTTATTTCTTACAAAAATGCGCCGTATTTTATACGCATTCGCCTGAATCTTTTGTGTAAAGTACACAAAACTTTGATTTGATCTTCATTGAACTTTGATGCAATATTACACTTTTGCACAAAAGCTTTCTTGTGCATGTTTTCGCAGCGAATTGCATACTGACGTTTCTAGCTTATTAATTTTGTTCTGATTTTATGAAAAGCGCTTTTTAAGTGCCGGTGTTAGTGTTTTTTATCGTGTATTTAGTTATTTATATATATAATACATTATTTTTTATTTATTTAAATAAATTTACGGGGATAAATAATGAAGGTATGTATTTATTATTTTATTAAAATATTTATTATAAATCTATTTATTATAAATTTATTTTCTTCTAATTTCAGATTACTTCACGTGTTGTCGTTGCATGCATACTGGGGTGGGTTTCGGTAAGTTGCTTATCATTTAATATTAAATAAAAATTAACAATTTCAGACAGAAGCAGTACAATGTTATTCAGGAAATTGGTCTCTAATATATTACAATAAAAATAAGTTTTAATATAAAAAATAAATAAAAAATTCCGGAGGGATTTATTGAAATCTACGAAAACTTACCTTCGCTGTAGAAAATTAAAGATAACGATTACCATAAAAGAAGTTTAAAAATTGAAGGGAAATTAAAAGAAATTTACCCCGATGCAAATATTGAACTGGTAAAAAGGAAAATTAATAACTTGCAAAGTGGTTATCGGAGAGAGTTGAAAAACACAAAGCGAGAGGTCTGGCGCAAGTGTGTTGTCATCCCTCTGATATTTTGACGATTTGGGATTTGCAAAAGATCAAGAGTCTCCATTTGCAGCAGTGACGTCAGTTTATGAAGTGTTAGACGAAAGTTTTATAGAGGTATGTATTTGCAACTTTAGTAAATAAAAATATGCTTCTAAAAACTAAATATAGATTATATATAGAAAAATATTAACTACTTTGCGTTCTATTAATTCAGGAACAGTCGGGTCTTAGCCGTTAAAAACGACAACAACAAGAGGATGCGACAAATTTAAGGTTGGGCAACACAATTTCGTAAGTTGAATTCCAACCAAAAAATTTATGCTAATAAGATGATAAATGAAGTGCTCTACCAGGGATTTGGATTTGTACTCTTATAAAGTTATATGAGCTTGCGGAACATCATTTATCACAATCATTTTCGCCAAGCTTTGCATCTTCATCAATTAATGCTCCATCACCTCCTTTTTTTACTTCACAAAAGCAACATCAAACATCTATTTACCATCTATATCTCCTGTTCACCCATCGCTATATATTGGTGTATAAAAACAACAGAAGTACTGTAGCGTTTAAAATCTCTTGATAGATAAGGAATTTACTTAAATTAGTTTTAATATTTATTAAAAGTTTTTCAAACAAAATTAATTTAATAATAGATTCGCTTCAATTTCAAAGGTATATTTAAATTCATTTTGTATTTATGCATAATATTTAAATTGATACATTATTTAACTTAATAGCACATTTACTTCGTATTTAAATTTATATTTAATTAATTATTAAAAAAAAACTAAACAATAAATGTTATAAAAAAAATTTTCTTATATTAATTAATTTTTTTATTATATTAATTTTTCTATTTATATTTTTCCGTTTGTATTAAAATAAGTACAAAAATTGTTCCTGGTGTCCTTTGCAATATTCGCTGCCTTGTGATTTTTACTCGCTCGCAGATTTGCTAATGGAAGATTCGTTGTGCTTGGATCATCTGCAGGTAAAGGTAACAGGTACGAAGACGCATATTTTTTACTTAAAAAGTTATGCAAGTAACAGATTGCCATCACAATTTTTATACACTTTTCCGGAGATAGATAAATTGTAGTCAGCAATATTCGAAACCTTGAGGATATCATATCAAATGCATTCTCTACAACTCTACGTGCCCGAGATAATCTTTTGTTGAAGTAAACTTGTTCTGCTGTCAATGCAGTGCTGCTGTATGGTTTCATTAAATTCTCTCTAAGAGGAAACGCATTGTCTGCAACAAATACATATGGTAGCTCTATATCAAAACTGGTTATTCGTCTTTTTGGCGGTATTTGTAGCTGACGATCTTCAAACTTTTTATTAAATAATGTGTTAGAAAACGTCCCATCTGCAGATATTCTACCATTACATCCAACGTCAATCATCATGAATTCATATTTTGCGTTCACCAATGCCATTAAGACAATACTGTGTGACTTTTTATAGTTAAAGTAAAAAGAATCACACGCGGCTGGTTTAGTAATGTTCACATGCTTTCCATGCAACGCTCCTAAACAATTTGGAAAATTCCAGAGGCTGTTAAATTCATCAGTAGTAATTTTCCATTCCTCTTCATTTTTTGGCAACTGTAATTAAAAACAAGTAGAGTTAGTATTTTAGATTTGCTCTGTCGAACTTGGGTATTTCACGTACAGAAATGTATTTCTTTAAAACCTTTATGATAGCATTGCATGTCTCAATCACAATTTTGCTAATGCTAGCTTCAGAGATGTTTGCACAACATTTCAAATCTGCAAAACTTTGGCCTGTTGCCAAAAAACGCAAAGTCGTCGTTAGTCTTTCATGCGGTGAAATTGCCTTCCTCATATGTGTATCTTGACGTGCAATATGCGGCGTGACTTTTGCTAACAATTCTTCATAAGCGCAATGTTCCATTCTTAAAAAGTTTCTGTAATCATTGGATGAAGTTGTTTGCAATTCATGTAATAAATTGGTGTGACACAGCTTTGGTCTTTTCTGAAGCGAATGTTTCACCAATACTCGTCGTTTCCTTTTTTGTTTTTTAGCTTCCTGCTCTTCAATTAGCAGCTCTCTTAACACAACTAGTGTCAATAATTTTCGTTCCATTATACTTTATTTCACACTATAAAAAAGATTTATCAATATTAATCATCAGAACTTATTATATACGTATATAAACTTACCTGATCAATCCTAAACTTCAAATATAAAAAAATAATTTTCCTTACAAAACTACGTATAGCAGTTGCTGTTGACACTTCGACAATCGCCTTAATACTGATGAGTGAAAAATGGTTGTTTTTTTAGGTCTGTTTCACAAGCTACTCGTAGTAAAACTCAAATAAAGTACAAACTGAGAGCGTAACACAAATAAAGTGCCAAATTACGCTCTTTACACAGATTTTCATGGAACAACTTTGTATAAAGTCTAGTGAGAACTCTAGTGCCGCGTAAATAAATAACAGAAAAATTTAAATTCAAACCAAAACAGCTGATTCACACATCAACACAATTTTTACTTGAAATAAAATGTCGCTGTCAAATTTCGACAGGGATGTTACGCTCTCTCAGATGCTCTCATTTACTCGAAAATTTGCCTATGGAACGCACAGTATTACTCAAAGTTACTATAAGTAGCTTGTGGAACAGACCTAATGCCGACTAGTTAGATGTGTAATAGCAAACGATGACATCGATCGCTGACGCGCTTGTTACAAAAAATAGTTGTAAATAGTTGCTGGAATATTTCGAAAAAATTATAGTATATGTATTGTAATAATATTAGAAGCTTCATATATTAAGTTAAAGTACTTTAATTTAAAAAAAAAAACAATTTTGCAGTCTTATGGCGTCAATCAAGAATATCTCTTTTACTTTACGTCCTTAACCAGTTCTATTGTTAGGTATTGTCATAGAATTTTATTTAAACTATTTATGTTCAAGTTTATTTTGCACTTTGCTTAATATTGCTATGAACAAAATAGTTAGTAGAAAACAAAGAATGCATATTTTCGTTTCACGCTGATTATGTTTTTAGCATAAGGATCTGTTTCTTCTCATTTATTTAAAAAACTATCATAATAAATGCGATACTCACTAAAGTTATGATATTCCAAGTTCAACATCTACTTTATACCCATAAACTACAGAGACTACCAACACTGTGAGTGCAATACACTCAAAAATTTACCAAAACTTCAAGCTCCAAAAATGAGATTGGCCGTTAACCATCATATATAACATTTCACATAATTAGTCAGCTATGTTTGAGCTGACATGGATTGAGATTTTATTGATTTAACTTTATTTGTAAGTTAAGATAAGTTTTTAAACTTATTGTATGACTTCTATAATTTGTTTTAATTACAATAAATCTTAAACCGTAGTTTAAATGATAAGAAACGCTGTTTAGTGATTTATAACGAGATGATTTTCAGTTTTTGTTATCACGTGTTAAAATTAGTTACTTATATAATACATGCCCTTTAACTTCCACCAATTAGCTCAAGCCTTCTTAACTTCTGGTTCTTTTTTTGAATCTTATCGTCTATTTCTCTGTAAACCCGTTGAAATTATTTAAGTCTGTCATAGTTATTTTGCTTTTTAATTATTTAAGTCTGTCGTAGTTATTTTGCAAAAACAACCTAACTTCCTTTCCTCTTTCATATAACAATTTTGTTATAAATAAATTTATTATTTTATTGTATATAAAGCCTATTGATTATATTTGTTTGTTTTGTACTGTACGTTGGTTATGCACTAAACATTCACTCAAAATGCAACTCTCACCTTTGTTGTTTTTATTTGATATGAGTTCAATATGTCAAAAGTATCACGTTCCTGCTGAAACCGTGCGGGCGACTGTAAATTGATTTAGTGTAAATGTTGTAATATTAGCAATTATTTGATTAAAAAAATGGATAATCAGAATGAGATGATCACAGAAGAACCCGCTGCTAAAAAAGCTAAGCTTCAAGAAAAAGCGTTAAGTAGCGGTTTGGAAAATCTTTTGAAGGTAACATGTGTGGTTTTATTTTGCTATTATTACGCCACATAAATAAAATATAATCTAAATACGGAAAAACTGTTCACAAACAAATTTAAACTGTCTTTTTTCCTTTAGACTGGATTTCAACAGGTTGTTAAGGCGGTAAAACTTTCGAATGGTATACCATCAGAAGAGGAGCGCAGTTACTATTCAACCTACAAATCATTTAATGACAATGTAAGCGCCCAATCTGATATGGTACTGAATCTTATGTCGCATATTTTAAAATATGAAAGTGTTGGTCTTTCATTACAAAAGTAATTAGATTAAAAAAATAATATGATACAATACTTTATTCATAAATATTATAAATATTTTAAGGCGTACTGATGATGAAAAATTTGACCTTTTGCAACAATGCAATGACGCCGCACTAGAACGTGTAAATTCTAATTTAGATATATACGCAGGGGCAGTACAGAAAGATATTCATCCAATAATTATAGAATCAGAAGTGAAAAAAATTGATATTACAACAAAAAATGCTGGAAGCTGGAATTTAAAACAAGCGAAAGAAACTACAGACAAAGAAACAATAGCGGCACGTTTAATAACAGCAAAAAACATTGCACGACCACAAATTAAATTCAATATACCAATTGATAATAGCAATAATACGCCATTTATACCAAAATTGACATATAAGCCGAATTCATTAAAACCATTGGCTATACTACCGGAATATGATGAGGCAGGCGATGTTGTGAGGTAAGCAAACATTTTGCATTATGGTTTAATAATTTTTACGTTAGTTAATAATTAATTGTGAATTATTTAGTTACTTGCATCCTTATGAATTTGAATTGGAAAAATTTGAGATGCCAGAAGAGGAATTGCAGCAAAAATCGCCTGTGAAACCAGCAAAAGTTGATGTTGTTGAGCTTATGCATGTCGATACTGTTGAGTTGCTCAACAAGGCGCTTGAGGAACTACGTCAACATAAAATGATTGCTGTTGATGTTGAACATCATGCATATCGTAGTTTCTTGGGATTCACTTGCCTAGTACAAATGTCAACCAAAGATAAGGACTATATATTCGATGCGCTAAAATTAAGAGATGATATGCATATTTTAAATGAAGTTTTAACTAATCCCAAAATAGTTAAAATATTTCATGGTGCTGATTTGGATATTATTTGGTTACAGCGTGATTTAAGTTTATACGTTGTGAACATGTTTGACACACATCATGCTGCGAAGTTGCTTAATTTCTCACGTCTCTCCTTGGCATATCTGCTTAAACACTACTGTGACATTGAAGTTGATAAAACATTTCAGTTAGCTGATTGGCGCATACGCCCATTACCCGATATGCTTATTAACTACGCCCGTCAGGACACGCACTACCTAATCTATGTGTACGAAAGTATTTGCAATGATTTGTTGGATAAGTCCAATCAGCACGGCAATTTATTGCGAAATGTATATCAAACTAGCAATGAGTTATGCAAGCGACGTTACTGCAAACCACTATTTAATAACGATTCACATTTAGAATTTTATCGAAAGTCAAAACATATTTTTGATAA